CAAAGCATCACTCCCAGCAGGTGCTTAATCACTGTAAGTGAAACGACATTGTTAAAGACATAACACATCTGAGAAGACGCCAAATGCCGGGGACTTTTGAAAAAAATATATTCTTTATAGGGTATGAAGATGCATCGATTAATCGTACGATAACGATTCTAAAACTCATCACACATGCATTGAACTGTGCAGGTAAGGATAGATTTTTTTTTTATTTGTGTATATTAAATGTAAGCTGGAGGGATGGCACAGTGGTTAGCACTATGAACCTGGGGATCCGAGTTTGATTCCCTGCCACAGCTAGCGTTACTTCATAGTGAATCATATCTGAACCGATTCTGGGGCTATAACCTTCATCAACCGACACTGCCCAATGTGACGAAGTATGGTTAAACGTCTCCCATGACCGACAACAGTGGGGACGTCTTCCTCCAGCAATGTATTTACAAAAGGGTTATAAAACATTACAGAATTATGTATACATTGTATTTCCAGTAATTAGGGTCATATGATCCCTGCAGCCACCAGAGGCTGCTTAAAAAAGTTGTTTTTTAAACAACCGTTTTATTAACAACTTCGTTTAACTCACGTCAATGGAGCAGAGACACGCGGCGCCCTGCTTTTTGTGCGAGCCGATTCCAGTTTAGGGACCGCGGCGTTTTTGAACTACACACAAAATATATAATTAATAAGCCGTCCATACAAAATATGTAATTGCTTGAAAGGAAGCAATTAATTGATTAATTGATGCCGATTTTCATACAGGCATGCATTGTCACCGGATCTGAGTAGTGTGCAAAATTTGGAATTGATTGGACAACCGTAAGTAGACTAACTTTTTATTACAAGATTTGACCACGACAAACACAGTTAAATAAAACCGTTGGAAAAAATCGATGTTTTATTCGTATCGTGATCCCCAAAATTTACGCTAGTAGCTGTTTTCCATCTGAAACTCCAACGCTCTACATCATGTTGTGATCTGTGAGCGGCCACTGCATTGTTGAGATGAGATTGGAGCATTTATGGCAGCGCTTGGCTATTAAGACCCTGCCATAAACCTCAGTGTAATGGAATTGGTTATGGCAATCTATGATCTTATCTTCGACTCATAAAACCACTTTACGGTTCACTGTACAGACCAAGATTAACAATACGCACACACCAAAATCTCCATACCTTGGTTCAGCAATTGAAGTCCAGCTAGGAAATGTATTGTTACGGTTTCCGATATGACACCACTGGCCATTTCTCCGTGTGTGTGTGTGTATTTTGGGCCTTACCTAGTGACATTCAAAATTTGGTTTACATTACAGATTTTAAATCACGAGTATGAATTGAAAACGAAATTAAGTCCAACACAGCCGTAACAAGCATGATGCACTCAGTGGCTCGAAACGTGAAAGTTTTCAGTTTGAATCATTACACTACGTAACACAATTTCTGTTCCTGGGTAGTGTTATTTTTTAATTGCTAATGCCTAAAAAGTATAGAAAATGGATATTCCCCACAAACTTTGCTTTTGTGGCCAGGACTTGATGTGAACGAAAGACACAAATGCACACCACGTTGCTCATTGAAAATAGGTCAATTAAAAAAATATCACTGTCCTGGTCACAAAAGCAAAGTTTGTGGGGACTAATAACCACATTCTGTACTTTTGAGGCATAAGCAATTAGGAAATAACACTTACCACGCAGGAACAGAAAAATGTAATGTTGTTACAGTGTTATAAGCAGTTTCAGCATCTTGAAACGTGCCCACCGTGTCTCGTTCTACTGGCCGTGAACCTTACCGAGAATGCAGGGGTGGTAGAGAACACGTGTGCTGTCCTCCTGCTCGTGATCTCAATGTCACTAGAGGGTCCCGGGGCTCACCACTCGTACTTGAGGGTTGCAACCTCACCCCACGGTCTCTCACTCGGCAGCCACCACGCACACAAGGGAGCCTCTAGGCAATGTTGAAGAACAACAATGGTGTGCTCGTTTATTCGCACAGACTCACTAACCAACCGGGCCTGCAACGTATTATCCCAGGACACGACTCTGATGTACTGCAGTAACATTCTTATCAGCAATTGTATTCTCCTTCAGCAATTGTGTAACAGTTGCTATATTCTTCTTCTTTGGTTCTTTCGTCCTTTACCGTCTTTGACGGTAAAGTCAAAGAAGATGAATCATTGCAGTCACGAAAGCTTTAAATCGAAAAGTTGCTATATTAACAAGACGCAAAGGTGACACTTTATGACCACGAAAGGCCCCGTGACTGACATTCGTGAGAGCCTAATAGGCAACACATGCCGAGATGAAACCTTGCTTAAGAAACAAATCCTCACTTATTTTTTCTGTTACAGCATGGTTTACGTGTTTTGCTTATTATTCGTCGCTAGTTTGTCAATACGCTCATACGAGCAGAATTATTTGAATGATCCAGTCTTGGAGCAATAACAAGACTACTGCAGCCAACAACATTCCCAATGGTTGAGTTAGTAGGTGGTCGCACAAAGTAACAATTAATGATAATAATTGACATCCGTTTGTCAATCCACTGCTGTATGGTAGGCCTCCCCTAACAGTGCAGGTCATGGAAGTTATTTGACCATCGGTTAGTACATTTTAATTTTGCAAAGAAAAGCAACTTACCAACGTCTCAAAAAAAATAGTGTACATTATATTGTCGACTCTGACTTGCTTCAAGACGCTGGTCAGTGCGGCTTGGCGAATGGGAGAGACAAAAAAAACAAATTCAGATATCACGAGCCACTGATGTGGCCGGGACTGAAACTCGCAGATCTTCAGCTCAGTGGCTCTAACTGCTGCAACATTTTTCGATTTAAAGCTTTCGTGACTGCAGGGATTCATATTCTTGGTTCTTTCGGTAAAGTCACCACGTAGAAGGGAAAAAATTAAATAATAAGAAAATTTGAAATGTTTTTTCTTGCTGTGGTTTTCACACCTGATGACGATTGCTGGTGTTGAAATCGAAACGTCGTGATAATTTTATTGTTTTATTTTTATTCTTTTATTATTTCCCTTCCTACGTGACTTTACCGAAAGAACCAAGAATATGCTGCAACACTGTTTATCCCAGCACAGAGTGCTCGGGCATAATTCACACGCAAACCACCTGCCTTATACCACGAAGCCGAAATGCACGTAACTAGCACCGGTGTTTTGTGGATGCTACTTCATGTGCCCGAGAGGCCGTATTGGCACTGCCTGCTCAAATATTCATAGCTAAAGGCGGTCAAATCCAGCCCCCATTTGGCTAAGAGTTAATCTCTCCATATACATTACCTTTGAGGCCCTGCATTTTTGTTTATGTAGATAGCAAAACCATATGATCTACTACTGCACTGGCGTTTTTAGGTCAAAATAATTTGCAATAAATCACAATTATGCCCCCCACTGCTCAGGTGTCAAGTCGAGGTGATGACATTTACAACTGACTTGCTCTTGTCACAACAAAATGCATCGTTTATCTTTCGCATTGCATCTCCCTCGAGTTAGTTTTAATGGGGAGACTGGCAGATTTTTTTAAAGGCACACAAAAGGCGGTCATTAATGTCATCCAATGTTCCTGATTTTTAAAACGTCAGCCGTTACGTTGGGTTTGCGGCTGTATATTTTTTGGCTAAAACCCAAGGATACTGGACCGCACGAATGTTTTGATGTATTGGAGTTCAACTTACTGGTGGGAAACATTTCACGGTTGTTACTCACTGTATCCATTCGGTGTCTAAACAAAGCTTCTACTCTTAAATACACTTCTGCCACGCAGCAGTAGCAGCAGTCACCAGAAACATACATTATTACCTGGTTGCGCATTTACCTATGTGGCCCCGTTAGCCACTGAAGGTGTCAATTTTAAATCCAGATGACCACCAATTAAAACATTGCGCTCAAGAATTGAAACCTCAACATCCAGTGAAACGTTGGATCATTTATATAATTTATGCCAGAACTACTACAAGCGCCCAATTTTAAGTAAGGAACGGTGGAAAACGCATTGACATGTAGAGGTCAGAATACATGGCCATGACGGTGATTATAATTTTCAAAGCGTTGTCCCATGCTGTTATATTAAAAATAAAACTTGCTGTGTATCAATGTTACTGAAACAGGCACACACACAACAACAACAGCCAGTAACAACAACAGCAGCTGAGGGCGGACATCCTAATTAACAAACTGAAGACATCACAACAGCGATTATAATTGCACAGCAGCTTGCGTCAGTGCGGAATGTAAAGTGCACTTGGCAATCTCCACAAGTTGTGTTTGTGGAAACTGGGGATTCAAAATTGACTTATTTGAGATGCATTTTCCACTGCTGTTATGGAAACAAACCTGGAACACAGGTGGACGCGTACACATGCACACAACAGTAGCCGGTGCAATACGTCAACTTAATGCATACATTTCACACGTGGTTCGTACAATACACACACAACTGATACATGCATTATACATAGTTAATTGAGTACACACACACACATACGATGCACACAAAGACAAAGCCCACCCCCCCACCCCGTATAGTCTTAACAGTATGTTAAGGCTCGCCTTTGTCTCACTCGTACCGATGTTTACACATCGCACCAGCAAATCATTGTGAAGCAGAGTCGACCTCGATGCACACAACATCGCACGGTCAACAGCTTACACATTACACACTCGCATATCCTATACAGTTCATACATTACAGTACAGGCACACTGTAGTTCAGAAAGTGAGTTACATCACACACTGCGCATCGCATCGAAAGAAAAATAAACAAACCCCATTCAAATCATTTCCGATAAAGAACAAAAGCGGCCGCTGCTGCTGCATTCATCATCGTCTGCATCATCATCATCTGCATCATCGTCGTCTGCATCATCGTCTGCATCACCATCATCGTCGTCTGCAGCATCATCTGCATCATCATCATCATCATCGTCTGCATCATCATCATCATCGGCAAGAGCACGCGGCCTCCCAAAACTTCGGACCCCGTACCTGCGACAGGGACCCACGCCATCGCCGCCACGGTCCAGGGAATGAGCGCGCCAGCCATCACCATCATCACCACCATCATCAGCATCACCACCGTGACCATCACTCGGCGAACGATTCGCTAAAAATCACGGCTTCCCCCCCCTCCCGCCTGTGCTTTCGTCCCCCCACTCCTCCTCCTCCTTCTCCTCCTAACCGGACTGTATGGGAGGGTATAGGAGGGAGGACCTTTAACCACGAATCTTCCCACACGCCGGTTGATCAACAACGGAGGATGTTGACCTCGGCTCGGCTCGGTGGTTGTGATTATCGTGGCGGGATGAACGATGCTGTGGGATGGTGGAGGAGGCTCTCGAGAAGACGTCACCGCCACGTTAAACCCCTCCCCAAACAAACCTCCTCCTCCTCCCTCACGTATCCAACAAAAGGCCGTCCAAGCAGAAATGTTTTCGCTATCCGCAACTCGACCGCACGCACACAAACACACAAAAAAATGCATCAGCGGCGTTATTTATGGTCGAGCGAGTGGAGCGGCGGGGTATATATATAAGTGATTAGCGGAACCGCGCGCTTTGAAACTGGACGTTTTTTTGTTGTTTCGTTTGTTGTTTTTTGTGTTATATTGCCGGCCACGGCGAACAACAATTCGTGAGCTGGCTGATATCCGAACCGGTTCCTGGGTGTGATCCTCCACCGCTTAACCAAGCAGCACCACGGAACCAGCGTGGTCGCAGTACCCTGGGCAACATACCCAGTGATCTCACGACAAGGGGACGCCGTGGGGTTTCAAAATCTTATCTCGTAGTTGTGAGATGGGCCCGTAAGCGGGTTTGGTCAGCTTTCTATCGGCGGCTGCAACGCCTACTTGAGACGGATTACTCGATCGGCGTTTAGCACGAAACTCAAAAGCTGTGTTGAATTGCTCAACCAGATGTATAAATAACCTTCGAGCCATAATGTCGGTTGTCGCAAAATTTCGAAACTTCTCGTGGCCCTTTGAGAGAACATGGAAAGTCCATCAGGCACCACATGTATTAACTTACGGTGGGGTTCCACCCAACAAGCGTCAAGGTTCAAGTTGAAAGATCAGGCTGGAACAGACTCGGCGTTTCATTAACTTCGGGTCAATAAAAAAAAAGTTTCACTAACTTGGCAGCCAACGAGTAGGTATCATCTGGAGACTGGTCCTCGTTATAGAGGAATGTGAAATGCGCACCACTAGAAAAAGAATGACCACCACCACCCCCTTCTGAATGCGGATTTAAATGGGTGTTTTTGTTTTTCATTAGGAAAACCAGTTTGATGAACTAATGTGCCCATGTATGGAAGCAGAACTTCTTTCGCACCGTACGTAGCCAACAGTGCTAATCGGAGGTGTCAGTCATGACGCCATCATGAAAATAGTGCACACCACATTCCGTTTTTTAATTGGTCGGTGTCAATTTAATCTCATATCCTTTTATTACGGATATTGATCTTGCTGATTAAAAATATAGGTCCAGGTGACCTGGGAAAACTTCTTGTTCCCAAAAGCAAACATCAATGATGTTACACAAAAAGTGGCACAGTTGAGGAAAAACATGTTTACGACTAATTCTACAAAACCATGACCAAATGTCAGGGAAACACGCCATTGTGTCACCGACACCATATTTTGGTTAAACATTTGGTCAACTGTTATTGAAACCGCTCTGTTAACTTCACTTGACACCCTGCTCAGATTTACAGTAGCTGCAATATTGATAGACTGGCCTTCATGGGAATATGGAATTAGCACCCGCTGGCTCAGAATCAATGTGGCCAAGTGGCGCCCCCTTTCGTGTTTGAACAGGGAGACACTTGGGACTCGAATTGAACGGTTCGGGCCGCCCTCTGGTGGCCTGATGAAGTATGACGCCATAATAAATACAGTACTGGTATAGAAATAGGTTTAACCCTTTTAACTGGCGCAAAAACCGACACCTTTATTCAAGGCATCATGTATGCAATAACCACAACACAAGCAGTCAAAATGCAAACAAACGAGACAACTCAGTGCATATTATTATCAGAGTTGTCTCTTTTGTTTGCATTTTGACTGCTTGTGTTGGGGTTATTGCACACATGATGCCTTGAATAAAGGTGTCAGTTTTTGTGCCAGTTAAAAGGGTAAAACCTATTTTTATATATCTTGTTACTGGCAAAAGGAGGTCTCATAATGTAAATACAGTACTGTGTATATGCAATGCCAACTTGCATTATAATTATCAATGACATTCTGGTCACTTATTTGGCTCCATATTCTGGGCAGAGGTGCAACGGGGGGGGGGGGGAGGTTAAATAGGGGCAATTCCCCCTCACCCCCACCCAAAATTTCTAGATCGCCTTTGTAGCATAGATACGTACCATTTATTTTTATTTATTTTTCACTGATAAAACATTGCGGTGACTGATTCACGGCATTACATTTATTGATGTATTGTACTGTGCATTGTACTTTAGATGCATTAAATAAATCGTAGAAAAGTTAATGTATATGCAATCACTATTGTCAACTGAAATGAGTGACTTTGTACAATTTGGCCCCTCAATAATGTTTAGCTAGTTGTGCCACTGATTTTAGGCACGATTTTAAACATTTGAACGCGTCGCTACGGTACAGTGAATAATAACTGTGTGGACTGCGTCTTAACACCGATATGACATGGTATGGTAATCATTAAAATGCAAGTAATGCACAATTTCCCAATAACCACTGACCATTTGTCACTGCGCAAAACGGTCCTTCACACAATGAATAAATAATCTCTGGTGCGATTCCCCCGAACGGTTTATTGCTTTTATAAGTGGAAACAGATTTCCTAGGGCTGGTATTACAAAACGTAAACACGGCTGAAACTACATCGGCATTGAAGGCAGCAGAGTTCTCATCACAGAAACACACAACAAGGTAGATGCCCCCTTCACTTGACTGTGGCACCAGTCCTCGGTGGGCAGCAATGGATTGAGAGGACCTGCCAGGCTCAAGCACTGAAGCCCTATATATTTTTTTTACAGATTACCACAATAAATGCCGAGACGTCTATTTTCTGTGGGGATGAGATTCACACACGTTAACAACCATTGCTGATTACTCACTTGCTTCACTTCATATATAGTAATACTTTTTCACAAAATGAATGTCAATTACAACAGTTTATCGTTTCTATAATTGTCGCATATTTACTTTTAACATTTCAGCAGTAACGACGTTATAAAAATATCAAACATTCAGCTATAACAATTCTAATTCCATCACCCAACTCCTATAAATGGACTCTGCAGGAGTTACAATAGAACCACATTAGCAACTGGAGCACTCATTTGGGCAATAACCAACGACCAGACGCAACGACGACAGGCTTCCACCTGCAGTAGAACAAGTTAGCCACACGAGCAAAATGCAACGGGACAGAAAATTGCACATCACAAGCAGACACGGGGCCATGCAATGAAACCAGGATGAAATGTGAGGCTTACACTGCACGTACCGCATGTGCAAAGAAAAAAAACACCGTCCACTACTGCGTGAAACGAATTAAGAACCTAAAAGATGAGCTACTCGTAATAACAAACTTACCCATTTGCCGTTCTCGTTGCTGCCATACAAATGCAGCATTTTCTCCAATTGTATTAACCAATCGTTTATGTTACGGCTGTAACGTATGGATAAACTTGTGCACATATAATGGAGCTGGCTTTCTAGGATTTGACGAAGCATTAAATTAATGGATTGAGCTGGCAATGGTGTGCAAGCACAGGCCAAAGACACCTCCGGCATTGATAACAATGCCCAAAAAAGGTGCCACTGCCAAAAAATGCCTGCCCATTGTATATATTGCTATTGTACGGCAGTGTAAATGGCAGTCGTGAGGCGGATTTAGTCTGAATAAGCAAATGGGTTAGAGAAAAAACCATGCCCTTCATCACTTAACATCATTGGTTCCCAACACTAAATTTGGAAATATATATTTGGTACTGGATCTTTCTTTCTTGTCTTGGTAAAATTATTACATTGACCAATACAGTACTTTTGGGTATTATTGGTCAGTTGCGTAATATCTATTTTAAAGCGACATTTCCCCATAGCTTTCAATGGATATCAGTGTGAATCAAAGGGTCATTTTATGCAGTTGGCCAAAGGCCTTCAAAGTGGAAAAAGAGAATTCTGGTTTTCCTCCTCTGCTAGGCACATGGGTTTTTACTTACAGGAGAAAGCATAAGCCAATAGCGATGTCCAAGCGCTTGGCTTCTGATTATTACTGCAGGTAACCAAACAAACTAGCCAACATGTCCACACTTACAGAACACTGCTCTCATTTTGATTCATCGAATAGCTTACAATAATGCTGTGCAAACAAAATTCATCCAGCAAAATAAAACGTTGAATAAATAAAACATAATAAAATTCAAAGTTAAAAACAACATTTCTTCGTTCAATGTTCACCTCAACTTTTGGAGTACCATCAAACGCACTTGAGAAAGAGTTGTGCCGTTCACTGCAGGGCCTTGACTACAAGACACTTACACTTAAATAGGTAGGAAAATACTTGTTTTTTCTGAAACACACGTATACAACAGCGTCAAACATACATTCTCAGTAAATAATGTGTAATGCGAGATTAAGCAGTCTATTGATTCACGCTGTGATAATTTCGTTACAAGCAGACAAGTGATTGCAATGCGTGACCTTCAAAACTTCGGATATAACATGGTAACAATGGAAATATGCGAGAGCACCAATAACCTTGAGAAATAGGATTGTGGGAAAAACTCTTAAAATGAGGTGGAACACACTGACAGCTTTGGTAGCAGGAATGCCTTGCGGTGTGTATACATGCCAGTCTTTTTTTTGCAATGGCAAGTTCCATTTCCACCTCCTGACATGGAAAGGCATCGTCAAGATTTACTGTCGATTGCAAATGGAATATTAAAATACCCTGTGACATAATTTATCAAGAGGACGCCAATGATTGCTGGTATCAGTCTAATTTTAAACAAGAATATTACACCTTCAGAATTACTCACTCAACTGGTGAAATAAAACAACGCAATTGATTCCCGCAGAAATTTTAAACCACAAAAATCTTACGTTTGTCAAAGGAAATTGGTACTTTCACAATCTTACATTGCACCTGCCGACAACAAGATTTTTCAGCTACCACATCAAGATGAGGCTTCAGTGTATTTTACAAATATCAGTTTACTCTGTGCCACTGCCTATCAAGTAATCAGTCTCAGTGTTCTAAGCGAAAGCTTTCTCTTATGCCTTAAGACATTTTCTCCATGCACTGTACATCAACATATTGTTTGACCTCGTGTAATTGTATGAACGTAACAAATGGGCTCTGCTTTATCACACTCGGAAATGTAAATCCATACGATCACGTCTAAAACACTAACACTGTAAGCGTAAACTAACAGAACACATACTCTTTAGTGGCCTTGAAACCTACATTTCATGATAACGGGTTCCAGACTACTGCACTGTTCAACCAGGAAGGCTTGTGATGCCATGGCAGTCAATCAGGTATATGGGACACTGTGGAACGTCCCCATAAATAATAGCAGGCAAACCAAGAGTGTGTGATGTCTCAATCACCAGTTTGAAGTATGCTCTTTTGCACATTTGAGTGTAATATGAGCAAAATCAGGCAGGACTCAGTTTATTTCCAAATGAGCAACCCTAGTTGAATGAATGAACCATATTTTAAAGTGGTACTGCATTGGCAGTGGTGCAAAAGCACAAATAAAAAAAAACCTCACATTTATTGACTTTGCCCTGAAAGGAAAATATTTATAATCGGTGATGATTAGGGAAAATGGCGCCTTTTTAATCGATAATTTCATAGAATAAGTCAGATGTCCTAACACAGCATTTCCACTTGCAGATGCCAATTTAACCACCTTGTAAGATAAACATTGTTAAATTGCAAACATATGAAACCGGCTGAGCAATGTGAGCTTCTGCATGGTGAAAAAAATATATTATCAACATCATAATCATCTACAAACGTTCCCAACACCCTGTCTTTCATCCAATTTCAAGCTCAAAAGGTGACCTCGTGTTATGACAGTCCAACCGCACAAAAAAAATCTGTTCTTCTCATCTTTATTTGAACAAGATAGATATTATTACTGAACTACGTCGAAAAGATAATGGTGCAGTAGCTTCAAACTTTGCTAGTGAAAATAAAGTATTTGAAATGTATTTCGGTGACTTTTTTTGTTTACAAAGGTCTGTAACTTGGTTCAAGGAATCTAAAAACATTAATTTTTATGGCTTGACAAAACTGTCATTTTTAAAACTTGCAGTGGACAAGAGTGTATACACCTCACTTTGTGTGAGGCAATGCATATTTAAATTGGTGCAAGTGAATTATTACATTTTAGCGTGATCAAATTGTCATGAACAAAAAATAGTAAAGTATCATTCACATGTTGACAGGAAAAGGCAGTACATGCCAAAATGTGGCAGAAAAATGGCTATATCGCCACCATTTTTTGGGAGATTTAACAATTTTTTGACACTGAATAACAGTGAATACTACCTTCCGAGGAACAGGTGAATTATACTCAACGACTCAATAGATTCTCAAACATGGCTGCTGAACTGCAATGTGTAAAAAGTGCCAGATAAGAGAGAATCCAACAGTTTGGCTGAATTGGATGACGATGTGGACCCTTCCAGGCATCGCTTGCGAGCCTCAAGTCTCGCGTCCCGGATCCACGTGCTGAGCTGGTCACCTATTCACACCGATGTCTCGGTTTGAACGCCGAACCTCTTGTCCTTGTGGCCATCCAGTCTAAAACGCTCTTGGCTACAAGGGAGCAAAGGTGAGATAGTTACAGCAACAAGGTCCGCGCACAGGCAATCGTCATCAATAACACACACACGGACATTTCCATGCATAATTTGTTAAGAGAGCAACATTCAAGCAATATTGAAATGAATGCATTTGCGGTTTACATTTGTTGCAAAGCACACTAATGCACCACAAGTTCAAAGCAAATTATACATAAATAGGGAGATTACATTGTTCATGCACTGTGGATGACTTTGACGCTCAGTATTGCTTTTTATTCCCAGTGCACCATCTGATCACTCATGTGATTGTCAAAATCGGAGCACAAAGGGTGCGGCAGACTGATAAGAATTCACGACTCACAGAGCTTCTCATCTCGTTCATCACTAACTTCCCCCCCCCCCCCCCCCAGATAACGATTGCCTGCACAGTGTAATGGACAGGAGGTGCACATCGTGTACAAAGTCTGGCGACAGAATGTCGCTACCGTCAAACGAAAGGAACCCAGGCGAGACGATCATGCAAAGGTAGTTTACTGTCATTCAAGCATTCACTAGGGAGGTCACCTCACAAATGCACTGTGGCTCACATGCTTGCAAGGCATTATTGATGCAAAGTTTTCAAGTCATTTACTGAGTGCGCAACACCAACTTACCTATGCAGGCCGCAATTCTAAATGGGGCATGGGGTAGATGGGCTGATAATATAGGGATGGGATACGCTCGTCAGAAAGAAAATCTCGAACAACAAATGTTTATAACCGTGCTCTTTAACATGTACACTATGACAATATTGGATAATGCAAACAAATGCATGTAATAATTGCACATGTACAGCCATTGTCAGCCCACTGTTAGACGAAAACTAAAACTAAACTATTTTATTTACCAGGTAAAGCCCACTGAGCTATTAGCTATTGTCCAGAAACGACCTGGCCACAAATGATAGCTCAACCAAGTGTCTTATCACGTGTGGACATTTATAACAGCCAACTAATCTAAACACACTTTTCTAAATGTGGAGAGAAAAAACTGGAGGATCCAGAGAAAAAAAACCTTACGGGACCACGGGGAGAGACACCGCAAGCTCCAAATATACAGCAGGCGTCAGGGTCGTGACTGAACCCACAACCTCCTGCATACCAGGCGAGGGAGACAACATCTCGCCACCATGGCACTCCTCCGCATGCCTTATAGGCCGTGAGGAATATTTGACCATATTTGTCATGATGGTTATTGCGAGTTGGTCAAAGTGGGGGGAGTACAGAACAATTAATTTTGCTGCATTGCCCCCTCTACTACCCACAATGCCTATAACACACAGTGGTGCTAACCCATTCAAGCACAAACCAGACTCCATTCTGCTTGGCTTACAAGATCCGTCACGCATTTAGTACATATGGATTGGTTTAACCCATGTTAAAGAAGCGCTGCAAATGAACGGTTACAATGATGCATAAATCAACAGGGGATTGAATACCAAAACCAAATCAAATAACAAGAGCATTGAAACTGCTCAAGTAATTAAAACGATCAAAATACCATACATTGCAGGAGTAACTAATAAACTAGCCAGATGTTTGGACAAACAAAACATCCGAGTCAGATTGGCACGGTACATAAAATGCAGAAATTAATATCTGGCACAAAAGATGTATTACCGAAGCTATCAACAGAAGGCGTGTACTGCACGTGTGGTAAATGTTATGTTGGGCAAACAAGACGAATGATCAGCACGAGACTAAAAGAACATCAGAGAAATATTAAATTATCCCAAATACAACTGTCAGAAGTAGAAGAACACGCGTGCCAACAAGGACACTCAATTGACTTTTTATAATTTTGAAGTTTAGTGCAAAACTAGCTGCTGCTGGACAAGACTAGTTAGAGAATCTATCGAAATTGAAAGAACTCAAAATAACTTTAACCGTTCGGATAGCTACCGCCTTAGTGCTGCGTGCAAGCAAATAAACAAATAATACATTATTGGAATGCATGCCTACAAAGGGCAACGTACTTCAATAGGGATTACCGTTGGTAGGGCTATTTTAATACAAACAATAGACAGGAAGGACAAGTTCAAAGGGCTCGCATAATGCACACGCATAATGTACGTTGCCTCAGTAATCCCCCCAGCCCCCAATGTGCGAGACCGCAGAAGGGTGGTCAACACATCTACGCCTCTATGTAAGGAACGAAACGGTAAGACTTCTCCACAAATCTGGCTGTCGTTTAATGAAGCGAGTTGTAATTACTGACGAAACCTCGTACTCAGATTGTAAATGTTGTGGCTTGGCTCTCCAACACACCGGTGTGCTGTACTAGTGACGAATTGGCCACGTTCTGTTTACGTGACAACCATTACTAGTTGGCGGTGTCGGGTGGTGGCGGGTTTTAATGGCACATTTATATATTTACGTGCTCTAACCCAAAAACCTCTAAGATGGATACATATGTGTAGTGACATCGCGTGATGCCACTGTGTAATGCCGGCCCTGGAGAGGCACGGCGTGCGATGTAGCGACATCGCGGGCACCACGTGGATGTGGGTGCAGTACCGGCCCTGGAGGGGCTCGGTGAGCGCTTACTGACAGCGCTGGGTGGCACCACGCTCGGCGTGCAGTGCGGACCCCTACAGGATAGGGTGTGGGAGTGCCGGCCATGGAAATGGGGTTACTAAGGGCCATGGCACTCTGGTTGACCCCAGAGGACACGTGACCGGTAAAGTTTACACAGGGCCCCCAAGTGGGGGCTAGGGGTGGTCACGTGTCAGGTCGAGATCCTGCTAGAGCAGGGGTCGGCAACCTATGGCTCGCGAGCCATAGGTTATTTGCATCTTGCTCGCAAATAAATCTTAGCTGACATTTCTTAACATGATAAGTCTTATCGCAAATAAATCTTAGCTGACATTTCTTAACATGATCAATCTTATCATATAGGAATAGGTTTTACCCTTTTAACTGGCACATAAACTGACACCTTTATTCAAGGCATCATGATTGCAATGACCACAACACAAGCAGTCAAAATGCAAACAAAAAAGACAACTCTGATAATATGCACTGTCCTTGAATTTGATTGGTCCACACCCGAGACAGCTTTTCTTAGAGCCTAGTCTCCATTGGTGTTGGACCAAAAGACGCCAAAAGTGCCAGTTAAAAGGGTAAAACCTATTCCTATATCTTGTTTCTGGCAAAGGAGGTCTCATAATGTTAAAAACAATCTTATCATGTTAAGAAATTCCTCTGGACAGTCCGGTCCCTTCACCTGATGAAGGCCACTTGTGTTGTGGCCGAAATGTCGTGATTTTTGTTGTTTTATTTTTTACCTACGTGACTTTACCGAATAGAACCAAAGAGTAAGCTGTGGAAATGTTGTTAAATGTTAGTCTGTGGACTTGATTTGGTAATTCTGTTAGTTTAGTTGAAGAAAGCAGAGTTGAAAATGAGGTCGGCTCACAGTTTATGAATGTTGGTGTGAGGGGTGTACACTCCCTGCCTCCCCCCCCCCAGGTGAATGTTATTGCATACATAGAGAGTAGAGAGAGCCAATTACCATTTTCGGTCATCCTCAATGTGCTGCAGGCTCTATGAAATTTGTTAAATTATCTGAGTCTGCACCTTCATTCAGATTCGCAAAATTTGTCTCGTCATATTCAGTCACACTTTTTGGTCTTTGATGGGTAGTCATGGTCGACATCATGTTTGATTTGTCCACTCTCAGTCATCGCTGAATACAATTGAAAACTCTTCGTTGACAAATACTTTCGTCACTAAATCTTGTTAATAAAGTACATATCTCCTCTGTGTGTACCTGAGTTGATTTGAAAATAAAATACTTTTGAAGAAAAACAAATCTTGTTCGTAAAGTTACCACTGTGAAACATCCACATTGAAGGAGGCCTTAGTAACGGCAACCACTACACGCTCTACTGCCCCCACAGCGAACACATCTTTTTTGTGATACTGTGTTGGCAGCGGTGCACGAGCACAAATAACTAACACTCAAAACATGTCAATAACACTGCCTCAAGAGGGGGAATTACATACACTACTATAGTGATGTATGTGGCAATACCTCTTGGTTGCAGAGCTCTCCGCCTTCTCAGTGCTCCCAGTCACCGCCCTCCACATGGACGTCTTGTCCATTTCCTGTGAGATGTTGATGATGGATGGGTCCTCGTGACTACACTCACGGTGGGGTGGGGGAGCAATGTGGGAGTCAGGGCGGAGAGGGCCGGGTCACATCCAGCGTTCAAATACATTATTATAACTGCGATTTATTACTGTAACACATACTGCTGTTTGGTTCAACGCAGGCATGTTGTGTTGGTTGTGTGAACAGGGGCACACGGAGCGGAACCTGCATTGGCTGCACTCACCTGTACTTGATGCTTTTGATGGGGATGTTGAGAACGTCCCCCCCTTTCAGGGGCAGCTGGACGGTGCCCACGTCAGACACTTCAATGATTCCGTCGGGGTCCTGCAAGGGCACAACCATACGCAATATATATAAAGACAAAGATCCCCCATGTAGGCTGCAACAGACTGTATGGACAAGTGCTGTTAGCAAGAACCTATGAAGGCTGGAACAGCACACGAGGGGGTGGGTGGCCAACACTATGCCCGGCCGCCTTTGTCTTCCTGGTGGCTATGCTTACACACCGAACCAGGTACTCATTTGAGGCTGAGTGGACACAGGGGAGGCCCAGGACCGATTCAGAAAATCGTCAGTGGTGTTGGCCATGAACGGGAATCGAATTCTGGTTGCCAGCTACACTCCTCACAATATATACACACACACACTCAAAACTTTTTTTGTTAATCACAGATCAGTCGCCTCTTGATTACAGTTACAATGCTACGAGCATAGTTACTGTTGCCATGACAGTCACTCATTGATTCTTCCACCCATGTTGAGGACTGTCGTCTCATCCATACTGTGTTCAACCACCACACTTGCAGGTCACAATAATTATTTTTTTTGCCTCTTCCCTTGCACTGTTCAACTTTAGAATTCCTTCCCATTGTTTCTAGATCCGTGCTCAATTCAAGAAACGCATTAACTTATCAATTACACATTTAACAGTGTTGGCTTGTTGGTAGCCATTGGACCTGTGCTTAGCAATTGTGATGGAAAAAAATTTGTCACGCAGTGACTCCAGACCTATAATGCAAAGTGGCCAAGAACAGAGGGATATATTCATGGTAACTGTGAAAGAGGTGGACAAGCTTCTTGAATCAAGTTATGATGGAAAGACAGATTTGGACAGGGAGTTCCTGTGCGAGGACAAAAATAGCTGGAAAATGAGCTCCGTCTGCAACGAGGGCAGCTGTGTGCCAGTGTGGATGACAGCGGTCGGCCAAGTGTGGAAACCGTATCCTCGAAATAAAAAAGTCGAGGAAGCGGCTCCTGAGAGAGCAACAGCGGCGAGCGGCGCGAAACATCTCGACCTCGCATCGTGCGGGCACGCGGGTGCCTCCCCAAAACTGCCCACCTCGTCCTTGTCATCGTCGTCATCTTCGAGGGTCTTCTTCTTGCTCTCGGGCATGAGGTCGTCCAGCCAGCTCAGCTCGTGGTTGGTGAAGCACAGGTCCATCAGTTTCCGGATGAACACCAGCGCAAGCACCTGCACACAGAGTGGCACACACCCCACGGCAACGTGCAAGCGCACAGGGAGATGATGTTACAACACCATCGCCCGCCACTATAACAATAATAATGACATTATATATAGTGAGTGTCTGTGGCTGGGACAAACAAAACAAGGTCCAAATATCCCATTTATCTATGCAGAAATGCTTAACAGTCATATATTTTTTTTTCTGAAAGGGTCATTCATCTGATACATTTGAGCTCTAAGACGATTTGCTATAACAAATTAAATTAAACAAAATAAATAGATGTTTAGTGCATATTAAATGTTAGCGGGCATCGGTTTGCTGCAACGCTGAGCCTGGTTTTATTCATGAGTGGTGGAAACCTGGTTTGAATTCAAGGCTCTCAGGGGTGAGCGCTCTGAGACACCCTGAGGCACCCAGCCAGATATTTCAATGAATGCACCGTAAAAAAAAGATCGGCATCCAAAATGTTTTTCTTAAGAGTGCGGTGCAATCAAACGTGACACTGAAAACCAACTTGCCCCACATGACGGGTCAGACCTTCCCAGATAATTCTCATAAAGCCATGGCCGTCCAACCCTTTTTAAGTGCAGGCCACATTGAGAATCTCCTAAACTCTCTGAGGCCCGAGAGGGTCGCGTACCACCGGTGCTCGCAAGCCTGTCAAATCCACGCTGCGGGCTCCTTCCTGCCCGCAGGCCGTCGGTGGCATCGCACCCACGTACTAACGAAGCTGGGCGAGCGGCGGACCTAAACAGTGCTGCGGTACCATGATGGGGAAGACGATGGCGGCGGGCGATGCCTTGATGACCCAGAGCAGCACGAGGCAGGAGACCTGGATGACGGTGAACAGGTGCACCTTGCGCAGCGGCACGTGGCGCAGGTAGATGAAGTCGGGCTGGTGTTTGGCCGGCATTCCGAACAGCTTCAGCCGGTCAAACAGCTGTGGTCATAGGCAAATGCACTGAACTGGGTAAAATGCGATGTGGCATACTTCGGGCTCACAATCAGAATGGTGAGCGAGGAGAGACAAGTTTTTTTTTAAAGAATGTTAAAGCGCATGCTGCAGTAGAATAACTTTTTTTTCTCTGAAGGAAGGCCATTGCCAAAAGATTTTCCACAATGTACTCTATTCACATTTCAGTGCTACTGATGCGTGTTTATGGTCAGTTGTGAAAGCAACGATAACTCCAAAGTTATTCGTTCGCACTGATTCACGATGTTCAGGGTTCGTCATCTCCCACCTGGATCCCACGCAGGGAGGAGGCGCCCATGTACAGGAACACACCGTAGAGCACAGGCATGGGGATGAACTGTTAAGAGAAAGGTGCACAGACGATGCAGATTTGACAACACCTCGACATTATAGAGAATTTACCAAAGGTCAATGACCTCTGCAACAAGGATAGTTAAGACCCTGTGACATCACTCGCAAAAGGGAGCCATTGGGTGCGTGTGTCACTAATTCAGTGAAGGCCACCTTTCTTACCTTGAGCACTGTGGTCATGAAGACAGAGCAGCCCATGAGCAGGAAGATCATGAGCCCCGTGAAGCGCTGCTCGCGGATGCCCAGGAATTTGGGCTGCTCGCCGGGCGCGGAGCACTCCGACTCGAGCTTGAGGCTGTTGACGTGCGAGATGGAGAGCACCGTGGCCGCCACGAACCAAGGCAGCCCCATGATGGAGCACACGCCCAGCATCAGCGCCACGCACAACAGGTCCAGGTGGTAGCCGCAGCCCTTCTGCGTGTGCGCACGCGTGGGGGTGCGCGCGTTTGGGTGCAAATTTAGGCGTGCGTGAGTGTGAGGGTAGAAGCGCGGCATTGTGTGTGCGAGTAGGCGAGCGTGTAGATGTACGTGTTTGACAGTGAGGGTTCCGAGTGTGCAAATGCACGTGTGGGCGTATGTGGGCGTGTGTGGGTGTGCGTACATATGAGTGAGCAAGTGTGGAGTTGTGAAAGCGCCGGTGTGTTCATGAGGTTGTTGAATGTATAATTGTGTGTGTGTGTGTGAAGTTTCTCGTGGATTCGTATGGGTTTGTTTTTTGGAACAAAACACAGGCACAATGAGTAGACATTGGCATGAAATGCAGAGAGCTGATCATTACCAGTTACTTTAATGGCCTTGTCAATGCTGAAGTAAAGTTCCAAATGAATGAGGCATGTGTAGAAAGTTGTCTGCATGAAGCATATACATTATTTTTCGAGGTCATCTCTGGAAAGAAAAGCTCACCCTTATCTCAAAAAAGTCAAAATGTACACTTGCTCAAATGAGCGTCAGGTGGTGCTCATCTCCATAGGCAATGTTTCGTGTGCAAAGAAAATCTCACATTTCTGTGTCTGGGAGGCAATTCCTCCAAAGGATGCTTACACTGTTGACTTTCCACAAAGTGGTACTTGTTGAACCAGCACGTGATTTGCCAGCCTATCAGCGGTGCGGTGTACGCTGGTGGAATGCACACCTTGAGCTTGTGCTCCTTGCGGTTGATGATGACGGCCGTGATCTGCTGATCCATGAAGATGAGGATGGTGCAGAGCAGGGCAGGCACCAGCGCTGCCGGGAAGGTCCACCAGGGGTTGGTTCCAATGGGGTTCACGAACCAGCCGCGGTCATCGCGTGTTGGCTGTTCATGAGGATTGCACGGGTGAGACATTGCCTCCCATAGGTTCTTTTACCAGTACCCCAATGGTCAGTGCCCTTCTAAAGAATCTTGCATTATTATACCCACATTTGTCTGTCAACCTGTTAGCGTGACTCGCCTGTTTTCATCTCGGTGCGTGAAATGTTTCTTGGCTTACCCACTGCTCAAGTGCTTTGCTCTCTTATTGACATTGAATTGTGTTTGTGCAATAGTTTTCCTTTCTCGTGTGAACACAGTTGCTTTTGTACCGATTTCTATTTGCTTCATTGGTGTATTTTATTTCGTTTTTCTTTTGTCATTTTGGTGACTGAAGTAACTCTTGTAAATGGTAACTTGAACAAAATATGGTTTGTTAATGTGCTGGACCGGATTCGTGCATGGATATAAAGAGAAACAAAAACTAATATGAATTTGTAAAAATGTACATAATTATAAATATGCAGAAGCTGCAACCAACATTTCTGGTTCATGGTAAGAATTGAGGAAGGCATATCGAGACCTGTAAGCAACAAACACAATCCAAAAACGATGACGTGTGGTTCACTTGTCGATCGCAGTACCTTAAATTCACTGGGGACCTTGAGTTTTGGGGACGGGATCCCCAGAGCGTAGTCAACCAGCACCATGGACAGGATGGTGAGGAACACGGCAAAGTCACTGACCGTTGATCGGACCTGGCACACAGGGGCACAGAGATCCACTCAGTCATTTCCCTGTAAGATGTTATACAGATGAAATTTAAGTCTAAACAGAGTGTTCGCAATGTTGAATAATTATTTTTGTGGCGAAAAATGCTTCAGAATAGAATAAGGAAGCACCAGTTATAAATGTGTTTTTATCTCAACAGATTGTGGAAATGGCAGATACCACACATGCTGCACTCAAGACGGCAGGGTTGAGAGTTGCCACTAATTAGTGCCAAGGTCACGAATGTGTTTGTTTCACATATGTACGCACAAGCGTACAAACACAGCTAAAGATCTTCATTTAGCCTAACATTTAGCCCGATGGGCTAAATGTTAGGCTAAATGGGGATCTGTGGTATCTGCTAATGGCAACGAAACCAAATTAGATCACAGCGTAACCCAAGCACGAGAGATTAACATAATAGGGTAACACAAACATCTGTTAGTGAGAGCACACAAATAACACTCGCACCGCACACTCAAAAAATGTACACACACAAAAACAACACGCACAAAAACACAAACAACATACACCCACACGCAAGACACACAGCATACATGCTCACGTACATGAAGCATCACGTGCATAAAAACAGATGCAAATACTAAACAAAAAATCAACTCGCAGCACATTCACAAAGAGTGTACAGACGCACAAACGCACAACGGAACAGCACACAAACAAGTTCCAACCGCGTAACTTTGTAATTCAGGGGGTGAGACAAGGGCGATTTATTTACATTTATTTTTGGCCGCCATTCTGTGCAATTTCTATAAATTGGGACGGACCTTGGTAGGGAAATAGCGCATGGTCTTGAACTGCTTGAAGAAGGCGGAGAGGAAAACGGTGCAGAAGAAGAGGATGACGGACCAGAAGAGCACGTCAGGCACGAAGGGTCCGTGGTGTCCGCACGCCGAGCCCACAAAGTCCCCGTGCAGCTGCTGACAAGTCTGCTCTCACACGCAGAGCATACGAGTCCCATTATTTCATTTAATCAATATTATTATTGCACTTTTTTTTTTACCCAGGAAGGATTAAGTCTTCAGACTCTCTACTCTTTGGTTCTATTCGGTAAACTCTTTTTTGTCGAGAGGGTCCTGTCAAGTCTTTTTTTACAGCAGGGGGCGATGTTGCTGTTGTAATCCATTGAGCAGTTTGAATGACATTTTTCAGCAATTGGATGTTTGGCCAATACTAATTAAAATTCATGTTTTCACATCTTTTTTGCTTTTTTGCTACGGGAGGAAACTGGAGAACCCGGAAGAAACTCTTGCAGAACAGAGGGATTACAAACTCCACACCGACAGGCACCCGAGTCGGGAATCAAACCCTGGAAGTTCTTCTTGTGAGGCACGGGTGTTTTCATTGCAACACCCTCCTGCTGCACCAGTAACTCCCCAGTGACACCATGCGCCTCCCCAATAATTGGAAATGTAACACGCAACACCATGGGTTATTTATATCTACACCTGGCCAGCAGACCATGTACCATTTAATTCCATGTATAGTTCAATGAATTGTCATGGTTTGGAATAAAAATTTCATTCATGATGTGATTCTGCTTTTTTTCCTTCCCATTGGGCTTGTTTCTAATAATAAACAATCTCATAGAGAGTAAGTGAATCAGAATTAATTTCACCACCCCAATGAGTCAATTAATAATGTATTGTGAGCTTAATAATTACTCTCATGGATAAATTGCTACACCCCTGCTGGTCAAGGTTTTTTGTTGATCACTTCCACCCCAGTTGGATACCTGATGAAATAAGTTAACATCAGTATGGGGTAAAAAATCAGCTGGACATGACACTGGCAAACAATACCCCCCTGTCCCAACTTCAATTGGTTCTCGCTAACTGCACTTGTCCCAACCAGCTGTGGAGGCTACAAGTGAAACCTTAATTTTTGAATGAATTATGCCAATGTTGGCTCAGCGATATCTGAAATTTTAAGGTTTGCCAGCAGAGGGTGCTGTGTGTTGCATGCAAGATCAACAACTATCTATGGCATGATGTTACCCCGAAACGACTCCCCAATTTAGAATGACAAATATACACACAGAAAGGTCACAAGACTCACGCTGACAGTCAGGTTTGCCCAGGGTATTGAGTCGGGCGTAACATTCAGATTCTGCCACAACAGCAGCGTCTTATTGCTGGGATCTTGGGGCTCCACGCAAGAACACCTGGATCAACACAACAATGACATGGGTGAATATTAATAGATTACACAGAAAGCAATTTTCACCGCTAAGCTTTTATAAAGGCTACTTGGGTCTACCCTTTGCAGAAAATATCAGAGTCAATACACGGTGGAAAACGTATCCAAGAAGGTCACACTTGGTGCGAAGAGTCTCTTGATAGACGAGTGCTCTATTGGGATGTCTGAGCCAGTGGTAAAATAGTATTTTGCATGTGGGAGAAAACCAAAGTGCCCCGAAAAACCACACAGATATTTGGATATACCTTACTTTTTTTTCCGTCGACTGGCCATAGCCCTGAGGGTGGGTGCCTAGCGCACATGCTTTTTCTCTGTGTCATCCACCAGCCCCACCTCCACAGCGCTGCATCACAGGCTTTGCACGTTCAGTTTTAAAACCGGGGGACACTCGACGCAAAAAGCATCCTTAAGGAAATTGTCACGTAGCCAAGTCAATTGATCTTTCAACTCTACTCAGGGCTGCTCAGCAGCGTACACACCAGTCACTGGGCTAACTGGTCACTTGCAATGGGCCAGTGTATTTTTATTGCGACGGCGTGTTAAAGCCAGGCATGTTGGAAAGCGGGGGGGCGGACTTGGTCTTGATTGGATTATGCTGACGGGCCCCATAATAGGGCATAGAGGTGTGTGGCAGGGTACTGAATATGCCTTCATCCGCTTGTGGTGAATTTTTACTCTCAACAATAGGAGGCAGCAGGAAGGGATGGGGGTTGGGGTGGGAGATGGGATGGGGGCCTTACGAGTAGTGCGTGAGCTGCTCCAAGTCCCCGTGAGAGTTGACTTCGTACGTCTCACCCAGGTGCACGAGCTTCTCCAGCGCCTCGTAGATGAAGATGATGCAGATGAGCGAGGCAAAGGCCTCCTCGGTGAAACGTGTGATGTAGCACACGAGCGAGCTGGCGTCCGTGGCCACCAGCAACAGGCAGAGGAACGCCGTCCATAGGCCGATGGACGCACGCAGCGACAGGTATGACAGCCCGTAGTCCCTGCAAAGGATGGGACGGGAGCATCAGCATGACCATCCTGAATGATGAGCCTTGAGACTCAACGAGGCTATCCGGGGTAGACATAGAAATTACGCTAAGACATTACACAGTAAAATGATATAATAAAAGTTTCTTCTTCCAAGAATGTGCACAATATCAGGGTAAATGGACATTTTAGTGGGTTCATTTACTTATGGGCTTTTGTTCAAGCCAGCAATAAAATATCCGCAGATAGGTCAGTATGGTTCTTTCTGTAGTGCCATCTGCTGGCCCATTTCTAGCCCTGCTGGATGACCACAATCCACTGAAATCTTGCAACGTGTAATTTGGATTAATGGCTTGTGTTCAAAGAATTACAAACTGATGAACGATATTTCAGGAATTGATTTGAAGCTTTTGTGACTGCAGGAATCCATACTCTTTGGTTCTTTCGGTAAAGTCACGTAGGTATAAAATAAAATAAATCACGACGTTTCGGGCGCAACACAAGCGTCCGTCATCAGGTGGGAAAGCATGGACTGCTGCTGATGCAGACTGTGAAAGCATGGCCTGCTGCTGAGGCAGACTGTAAAAGCATGGTCTGCTGCTGATGCAGACTGTTTTAAAGCAGTTTTTAAAGCAGCAGACCGCGCTTTCCCACCTGATGACGGACGCTTGTGTTGCACCCGAAACGTCGTGATTTATGTTATTTTATGCCTACGTGACTTTATTGAAAGAACCAAAGAGTATGATATTTCAGGAGTGCACCTGGGCATAAACTTGCTGCAGACATCAACGGCTGCGATGAGGCTTTGAAGCTAGCCAAGGGTGTTTGTAGGCCGTGAACCATCTCCTTGTTTTATTGTCACAAACTGTGCTCAAGTGACAATGCACATCAAGTATGTGCAATCAGGGGACACGTGTTCATTTTCTTTGAATCATTTACACGTGCACCCCATGCTGATTTAAAAATGCAGCTGAGAGTAACATTTTAGAATTTTTTTTATCAAGGTACTGAATGTTACATGCAAAGATCGAGCTATGGTGAGATCTGCCCAATATGAATATCTACAAGTCCTACAGCTACAAACGGACTTAACAAAATCTACATATGTGTTAGCACCAACTCTTTTGTTTTAAAATAGATGCGTATGAGATATATGTTTTAGCATTGTTTGTAATTCATGATAATTTATGTCGGAGTTTTTGTTTAGTTATTATTGTTTTGATTTAGAGCTTTCGTGACTGCAGGGATTCATATTCTTGGTTCTTTCGGTAAAGTCACGTAGAATGAGAATAAAATAATAAATTGATAAAATAAAATAACACAATAAAAATTCTCACGACGTTTTGGCCACAACACAAGCGGCCTTTGATGAACAGATTCCTTTTCTCCTCTATCTAAAACCATCTCTCTATGCCTGAATTTCATCATCTTTACTGCATTGTAGATTTTGTTATCCCCCACCCTAAAACCTTCCAACTTAACCTTCATCATCAATAATGAACACTCTACTGCCGGATCAAGGTTTCCCCAAAGCTGTTGCCACCTCTTGCGGTCCTGCTATGTACCAGTTGAAAAATATAATTACCTCACCCCTCTGTACTACCGCCACCTTCAGCTCCTTCAAACAACAGTGTGCACTCTCTCGAGAAACAATTGTTTAGGGATATTATAAAGACAAATTCCATTGTAGGTTGTAAAACATTTCAGTGGAAAGTGTACATTTCACAAGAGCCTCTATTGGCACGATGACCTTCCCCTGTGGACTCTCCTGCCAGCGAAAGCTGTTATGATTTTCTATAATAGCACAAGACATCTGAACTTCATGAGCAGAATGAAACCCAACCCGCCAAGACAACACTAGTAATCAGCATACCGAGACAAAATTTACCTTAATTAACAGAAAACATAATCGAAGCTTGCCAACAGGCCAATTATTCTACTTTTTCAGGAGTGCCATGCTCAGATATTCTTAGTCAATTCGTAGAATTAATTTGCATGTTATAGGAAACCAGAGTGCCAGAAGAAACCCCATTCATATGAGAAAAGTACTTTCAACAGACAAGTTATCAACCTACTTGCTCTGCTGCCATCTACCAACTACTTTTTTGTCATCTATTCACAAACCCCCTATGATCCACCAACACCCCTGCCTGCACTCCATAGCGCTGGGATAACAAGGCATGCATCACGGCGACCCCGGCCGGCAATGTCCACTCGTTCCAAAAGTCCTCTCCTCCTCCCCCTCCCACCACTCACTTGCAGAACTTGTAGAGAATCTTCTCAAAAACGAGCACGGGTCCCGTGCTGCCCAGGATGGTCAGGGGCTGCCCCGCGAACAGCGAGAACGCAATACCCGTCATTGAGGCGCCAAACAGCGACTCGATTGCACTCTGCCACGCGCACAGCGCAGGACAAGAACAAGACAGGGAACCAAACGTGAACAAACATTCCCCCCCTTCAGACAACGTAGACCTGTTGCGGCAAGCGTTGTAAAAGGAAGCACCTATGAAGGCCAGCATGGCATGCAAGCGGGTGGTATGGCCAGGACTACGGTCTGCCTCCTTTGTCTCCCCCGTTGCTGATGATTTCGCACTGCACCGCTAGACCCAGGGAAGGCTCAGAACCACTTCAGAAAACACTTGCCACCGATGTTAGCCGTGGCCGTGAATCGAACCAGGCCGCTGGGTTCGCAGTGCGCTACGTACGGTGCGAAAGAAGTTCAAGATGCGTACATACATACAGTGTGCTAACCATTATGCCACCACTCACCACAATAATTGAATACGCATACATGCAGGTTTACAGAAAGATCCCCCATAGAGCCTTGAAAGGCTGTTGGGGCAATTGCTGTTAGCGAGCACCTATGAAGGCTGGCACGACACGAGGGGGTGAGTGGCAAGCATCACGCATGATGATAGCCTTTGTCTCTACAGTGGCAATGATTTTACACACCGCATCAGGTACTTAATTGAGGCTGAGTTCACATAGGGGAGGCACAAGAACGGTTCAGACAATCGTCACTGGCATTGGCCACGAGCGGAAATCGAACTCTGGTCGCCTGGTTCTCAGCACAATGCGCTAACCGCTACACTCCCGCTCCCCACACATATAACAAGCATACATGAGCACACATAGACCAAGATTTACCATGAAGCCTTATAGGCTATTGGGGCACCTATTTTTGATTATTTGTATTCTTGTCCACACTGGAAATCCCCACCAAGTCTCAGGACTCGTGTAATACCAATTAAGTAACTTGCAGGTATTTTTTATGCATTGAGATATTTCGCTAATACCAGGTAAATTGTGAGGTTTTTTTTAGCTATGGGAAGAAATCGGAGAACCCAGAGGAAACCCATGTAGACATTGGGAGAACATAAAAAACTCCGCACAGAACGGCTCCCGAGTTGGGAATCGAACTCAAGACCTGCATGCAATAAGGCTACGATTGCACGCGATATTTGGTGTCGTCTTAATGATCGAGGTAGCGTGGTAACAGTGCGTCACCACGTTCCAAGACACATACAAGCTCACACGAACACACGTTCACGCACGCACGCACACACACACACATCGGTGTACGCACTCACATACAAGGATGCATTACATACATCTGCACAAAGTGTTCGCCACTGTTGTGAAATTTAAAGTGGTGGCTGAAAGCAATACGTGCGGTCACAGGATGACGTCAGGCACGTTTCACTACACTTATAGCTCTGGCACATATTCCTGCAGGTCTGACATTCCACATGTGGCGACATTCTTGTTTCAAAATGAGTTTACGACCGTGAATGTACCCCTGTTGCTTAAAAGTTTAAAAGAATAAACACAGGCATGTTTAAACGTCTACGTATTTCTTTCCGTAAACTTTCAAGAGAAGTGCACGCATGTGTACGTGCATGTGTTTGTCATCGTGAATTGCACGTCTCTCGATTGTGTACGAGCGAGCATGCATTTGTTATTGTGAGTGGTGGCAGATCTGCCAGTCCTCTCAGTCAGTCAACCCATGGCATCCGAGTCTGTTCCATAACCACCTGCCAGCGAGTCTTCAACACTTCACGTGGCCTCAAAATGCACCTCGCTTGGCACAAGCACCGTGGTGACATCACCGCCACTTAGTGGTGAATGGGGGTTGTTATTGTTTTTGGTCGTACATCTATCATTCGTGTATTAGTGAGTGAGCGTGCATGCGTGTATGTGCGTGTGTGTCATCGTGAGTCGCGCATCTCTCGTTCGCACTAACTATTCTATTCTCGGTGGCCTCCCCGAGGAGTCCGCCGAAGGTGATGACGGGAGACATGCAGGCGCAGTACAGGAAGAGGAAGGAGGCCACACACTGCAGGCTGAGGGCATCGCGGTAATCGCTCCAGTACCAGGGCAGCTTCCGCTTGATGTCAACGACGAGCCCTCCAAACAACCTGGCAAGCAAGGAAGGAGGTGAGGAGGTGTCAGAAACACAAGCGATCCCAAAGAGCGTTTGAGCTGCGAACTCAATGGGAACTATTATTGCAGGCTCAAACGAGCATTGGGTGGCACCGATCTATTTTAGGAGCCTTGAGCAGGTGGTGGAAATTTGAAATTCCTAGGACAGGGACCAGTCCTGTCCACAGATGCCTATTGTTGACTTCCTACCTGAAACCCAATTTGAATTTCTGACCTGCCGATTATGAGTTGAGCACTTTACCAATAGCTTTCCAGATGAAGTAAAACCAATGTGAAACTAGAGAACCTACATGGCTTGTACATTAGTGTAAAAATAATTCATATTTACCTGTCCATCTGTGTGCATGTCCGTGCCCACTTTAATGCAAGCTTATGTGTCTACTTAAATTACCAATTTGAGGAACCACCAGGGTAGTGCCACAGATCTTCCCCGAGGTTGATGTCTGTCGTGAGCACAGAGGAGAGTGTCCCCGACAACAGAGGTAATGACCTGAATCTAGGGGAGATATCTGCGCAGCGCGCACTTGGGAGAGTGGATGACGAGGGTGCGGGAGGTCCGGACCAAAATCTAGCTGAAATATCTGTGTTGTGAGGGAGCAGGATGACAGGGATAGAGGTGATGACGGTAATCTAGGTGTGATCTCTATGTGGTGAGCGAGCACTAAGACGAGAAGAAGGAGGAAGAGACCTGCCAGTTCGCTGCAGCTCTGGTCCCATGCCATGACCCTCATGCTCTGGCTCGGCCCCAGGCGCTCCGCCGTTTGGCACATTCGGCATTTTCCGCTTCTCCTGTGGCACCACCGAGAGCCAGGGGTTAACAATGTCATGCAATTTTTCACTGGAAAGAGATACAAATATACAATCCATGCAAATGCTGTTGTCACACTACGGCAATCTGGCTACAGAAATAATTAAAACTCGCCTTTTGCCCGTCCAAGGACGGGTGTATTGCAGTAAATCTGAAACTTGCAAGCGAAAAGCAGACCGCGACGTGATGTTCATTGCATTACTGATTGAAAGGTAGTCGATACAGATACTTGGACAATAAACAACCAAATAGTGACGATTTTATGCTGCCTAATCTGGTTTTACAAATAAAATCAGCTAAAAAGTGCTTTTATCCAAATAGTGATGTTGGTTTATTAACCAATTCTCACAACGAGGATAAACATCGACGTTGAGTGTTTATACATCTCTAGGGTCACTATAAGACATTGGCGTTAACGCCTAAGGCAGATGCCACTTCACAGTTTGCCACTGAGAGCATCTCTGGTGACCTGCCTCCATTGTCCCAACAGAACTACGCTGTGTTCATCAAATATGAAGGGCAGGATGAACTCACTAAGAGCCAGTCCAGGACTCCACAAGGATTCAACAAACCCATTTGCTCATGGACATTAAAAAATAACCAGCTCCAGGCAGGAAAATTATTTAACAAGTGAGCAGCAGCTTTTCTCTAAAGGACTCGGAAAAAAAACTCCATCGGCAACAGCTGGCGCCGCAATTTTTTTAAAATATAAATTTGATTTAATAAAAAAATAAAAACAGAGGGGATGAGAGCAGAAACTATAGGAAACAGTACCGGAGGAGGGGAAGAAACAGCAACGCACCAAAAATCAGGTGCACAGACAAGTAATAAAATAAGAATATTACCTCAAGCGGTGGAGATCTGAAATATCTGGGTAAAGTTCCTTCTCCAGCTTGACTGCCGTATGGGGCCATACCAACTGTGGTGTGGTGTGAGTATGGTGGGGGGGGGGGGGGGGGCATTTACCTGGGAGGGAACGCTCTTAGGGGGCTCGATGCGGATGGAGGGATCCCACTCTCCGGGAGGCAGCACCGTCACCTGGTCCAGGAACTCGTCGATCCCCGCCAGGAGGTCATTGCGGTCTTTCGCTTTGTAGGCGACGTCGTGGAAAATCTGGCAAGGCCAAGCAGCAAAGCGCACGTGCGTGCAGTGCAAGTGAAGCGATGTAATGCATTACGAGCGATCGGCCACGGTAATCGGATTACCGTTCAGCTGGCATCGCTAGCACGTACGGTCACTCTGTTTTAATTCTGTAATTATATTGCATTTCTTGGCGTGTATTGGTGGATTCCCCTCTAGGATTACCTTGGCCTTCAAAAAAAAATGGGAAATAATTCAAGAAACATGTAAACTTGGGAAATTATTGCGTCAGCTGTTAATCTGAGGACAGCAGCAGGAATTAGATGGAATTGGTATTGCGCCATTATTTCTCAGGTGAAATGAATTAGTTTTAATAATAAAAAAAAAAGTAATCATGAAGACAATAAAAACTATGTCACATTGGAATTAACCAATGCAGGATTACGTTACATTCTTTAAAAGCTTGCGGTAATCAACCATCAAAGACTGATCCTTTTCAAAAGCTTCCCTCCCCCAACCACTGACCTGACCCTGACTGATGAGGTCATGGGAAGATGCGATCACGATCATTGCGTGAATTCCAACAAAGCAAATATATAATGGCATGGCGTTCACAGGCATGTAATCAAGCACTTTAAGAGCAGAGTTGGTGGATTACTCAGATATCACCATCATGTATCTAGTATTTACAACCTGCTTAGACAGGAAAGTGTCTAGCAGATGATAGTGCAGCAAGTAGGCTGCTGATCTACTCAAATAGAGCCCTGAGTGTTTTACATTGTTTACGATTTGTTTTTCCCCGCTGGGAACGTCCTGAGGCCAAATGGCAAATGGAATTAAACAGATATTGATCTGCAACGAAAGCAGGAGAGATCTAAAAATATATTTAGATACAGCTGAGGGTGCCTTGGATAAAAAGATAATTGCTATTATAAATATTTTAAAGTACGCCATTGCGGAGAAATCCAGAAGTGTGCACACACAGGGTGGCCCAAGAGTGAGCTTCTTGAGATAGGCACAGTATTATTTTGGGACTTTTACTGGTAGGAACCTCCTGGTGACACAAGCCCACAGGGGATTATTGTGTCCGTCCGTCCGTCGTGCATCCAAAAATGGGAGGGGTGGGGCTGGGTGGAGAGGGGAGGGGCTGGGTGGGGAAGGAGGGGCTGGGTGGGGAGGGGAGGGTGGGGAGGGGCTGGGTGGGGAGGGGCTGGGTGGGGAGTGGGGAGTGGGGCTGGGTGGAGAGGGGAGGGTGGGGAGGGGCTGGGTGGGGAGGGGCTGGTCACCCCGTGGTGCCCTTATAAAACTCAATGTTTAACCTACTCACGCCGGCTTGTGCCCGCCCTCACAGTCGGGAATATTTGCGTAATACACCACGTGGTGCCGCCGTTGACCCTGAGCAACCCAACGTTCCTACCAGCTCCCTCCGCAGGAATGTGTTGTTTTATTTTTTGCAGAGGTAAACCCCATGGGCAATAAATGCTCATTTCGATGCAGACCTGGTTACACCAACAACAAAAACGTGAACAAAATAATCCAAAACAACTGTACGTGGTCAAGTTCCGAATGGCAAGGTCATGCATCGACATTTTTTCTCAGTAAACTAACTTTTGAGCCACTCTATAGAGACTTACAACCATAATAATTCACTACGGTTGTAAAACATAGATACAATAGTGCACAATATCAATCAGATGGCAAATGGGAATCGTGATGATAGATAGAAAGAAAGCAAGTGTTTAATCAGAACATGTTGACAGCTTATTGGCGAATACTTTGGGTGTATTAATCACACGAAACATGCACTCTCTGCTTCACAGTGGCGCGGTGGTCAAATTGACAAAATGATCTGCAAACTACTACATTGGAAATACACGAAGCAATCGTCTCTTACTAGCAAGCTAATGCCCATTGGCAGGCCACGTGATGTATCACTGAACGCCAAGGGACAACTGCCACTGGGGGTCCCCTTTTCAAACGTTTTAGATGAGATGTGATATAAAGCACTCTGAGACACCCGAAGGTATTGGGCACTATATATAAAAAAACTACCATTATCATATTCTTTTGGCCTTTGGGTAAAGTCAAGTAAATAGGTTCAAAGAAAATAACAAAAAAAACGACGTTTCGATTGCAACACAAGCGGTCGTCATCAGGCAAAGGAGTTAGTCTCCGAGGGCAAAATGTTTATAAAGGTTTGGGAATGGGTGTGACTCAAGTGTATCGGCGGCAACCAGGGTCATGGGCAGTGCACCACTGCCAATGCAGCAACGATGACAATGCCTACCTAAAACATGACTCCCACCACCATCCATCCTAAAATAATTCCCTCATAAAAACTCTATACCATAGAGCTCAATGTATTTCCAACCATAATCACCTAACCAGTGAAGTGGAACACGTACACCAAGCTCTCAAGATGAATGGATATTCAGACTACACAATACGTAAAGCTATCACCCCAACGGTTGGGAAAGAACCATCTGAGGATCCAATCAAAACCATCACCTTGCCATACAAGGTGATGGTTACATTGGGGACAACTAAGCAACATGTCTGTGACCGTGTTCGTGAACATAAGGCAGATCCAAAACACGGGAGGACCAAAACACGGGAGGACCAAAACCTCGGCCGTGGCTGATCACTGTTTTAATGCGGTGGGCTCACACGAAATTGATTTCTCCAAGACGAAGGTACTTTGCAAATCCACTGGCTATCAACAAAGATTCGTTCATGAAGCCATCCATATATATAGACAACCGAGAAAATGGGTACAAACTGTGCAATCATTGGAAAGACGTTATTAACATTAACAGGTAAAAAAAATTCTCACACTAACACAGCCACCTCGTGCGCTGACGTGGCGGCAACTCTGCGATCTTACATTTGCATGCTAATCTCTCACACTGACATAGCTGCTGCATTGGCAGTAGCGCGGCATTGTCATTGTTGCTGCATTGGCAGCGGTGCACTGCCCATGACCCTGGTTGCCGCCGATACACTTGGGCCACGCCCATCCCCAAACCTTTATAAACATTTTGCCTTCAGAGGCTAACTCCTTTGCCTGATGACGACCGCTTGTGTTGCGATCGAAACGTCGGCGTTTTTTGTTATTTTCTTTGAACCTATCTACGTGACTTTACCGAAAGACCCAAAGAATATGAATTCCTGCAGTCACGAAAGCTTTAAGTCAAGAATTAAAACATTATCTCATTATTACTCCTGCAATTTCATGGCAAGAAAACTTGTTACCACTGCAATGCCTGTAAACCCCCTAAAGATGACGATGGTACTGTTGATGAAAGTTGAGGCTGACCTCATCGGCCATTAGAGTTGCAATGGACCGGCCGATCTCGTGGTACTGCTGGGCCTTGCCTGGTGGCCCCAGCAGAAAGAACAGAAACCTGTAGGATTGTAAGGAATAATTAATGGTGATAGTGGTGAGGGATTTTATTTTGTTGAATTACAGGAAAATAAATAGTCTAAATTCATACAAAACATGGGGTGGAGCTCTTTCCGCATTAAATAGTAAATCAAGATCATCATCAGCCATGAACAAATAACTGCTGGTTGAAGGCATCCCCAAACTGTTGCAATTTTTCACTATCCTGCAATGCACAAATGTACCAGGCAACTGCAAAACAAGTTGATTCTACAGCTCCATAAATTTACATAATATTTGAAGTGTGCTGTTCCCCCATATAGATGTTAACATTTGTGGTTATATCACAAATGTATTCTCTTGAATAAAACGTAGGTTTTAAGCACCAAAGGCCATTATTTCTCTAAACATGATTCGACAACAGTACAGCTTTCCACAGGGCTGAGAAACCCAAATAGAGCGGTCTGGGCCTGCTATGAAAAGGTAGTGTTGTGATTGAAAGCATGTGATTCACGTGACTACAGCCACTGTAAAAAAAAACGGTTCCTCGAATCTCCAAGCCAACTCAAGTGCAGGGAGAGAGCAGTTATCATCATAGCCGTTCTATTCTTAACGTACAGCCTCGGCACGGGATGGGGTGAGCTTGTCTCACAAAGATTACACAGGGTGGGTGTGTACAGTGTGTCCTCCAAATAACATGGGTGAATGTACCGTCCCACATATAGACCGGGGTTTTTTGGTGATGCCAGCATTAAATATTGGAAACAAACTGAAAAATCACTCCCAAAGCCATAAAAATGTACAGTGTGCCGACTTGTCAACTGCGTCTCCACGCTTCGGAGATTGTCACGCACCAGGAAGTCCAAGTTAAGTGTGATAACATAATATTCTTTACATTTTTATATTATTCATGTTATTTAGTATCTGAACAGCTCCCAACAGGGAGAAAAACGTAGGACATTGTGCCCAACAACAACCGATACAATCTGGAAACACACATTGCTTTTCGCACTGTACAGCACAACCGCAGAAACCTACGCCAGTCGTGTATGCTGCAGATTCTGCTTCCTGCCGTACCGGGTTGGGATGGGAACCTCAGTTATCCCCGTCAGCAGCACAGCCGGGGAGAGGCGCACGAAGGCGATGAGTGGCCTCTCCAGGAAGTCCACCTCGCCCACCAGCACGTTGGAGGCCTCCGCCCCCGGGGGGATCTTGCGCATGAAGTTCAGGTCCACCTGGATCACGCGCAGTGAGTCAGTTGTACTTACAGCGATCGACTCGCAGCCGGAAAATTGGGAGTTCTAATCCCGGTCGGAGATTTACTCTGTTCCGCCATTATCTTCCTTTGTGGTTGTCCTATGGAGAGATGTCCCCACAGTATTAATGTCGAATTTCTAGCACTGGCTCAGGGCTGTCAACAGAGGTAACATTGTGCCATTGCTTATAGGGGGACACCGACATCAGAATTAGGTTTTAGACGATTGCGTCTTAAAAGCTAGCCTGAGTAAAAACAAATTACACACCACACTCAAAAGCCAAACAAGCACTAAAGTTTTGACTACCTCTGAAAGAAATTCAATAAGCAGACTGAATTTCTTTTCGTCACATTAAGGACTACATTAGCCACTTTCCAGGAGGGCAATTTTTGCGGAACAAAAAGCCACTTGTCCAAAACATATGCCATTATGCCACAAATGCATGTGTTCCTCCAAACAAGTAGACGTTTGTTTCGTGCAAACACCACCGTTTCACAACAAGTGAAAGCACTAAGGGACAAGAATAACGAGAGTAAGTGGGGTTAGGGCAGCACTGCGTGAAGAACGGGTAGCGGGCGCTGGCGGAGACGACAGGAGCACGGGCGGCCTCTGCACCGCACGCACCGAGCGAGAGGCGGCTGAGCCCCACAGGAATGACTTACTGCGGGGCTCGGCCTTCCCTCGTCCGGCATCGCACAGCCACAACGCCAACCGGCGCCGGCTTGCTGATAATGTCCCAGATAAAATGACACCCACAACAACAGCAGCAGCAGCAGCAGAAAGACGCGCAAGTAGAAGAGAAAAGAAACGTTATGATTTTAGTGATAATGATGATAAGCAAATGATGGAAGGAAAGTAATATGTATGACGGGCCGAAAACAGCTCACCTCCTAAGGTGTTTATGAACATAAGTGCAGAGTACATATTTTATCAGACAATAAATGTTTTTAAGCTTTGTTCAGAATGGTGACAGTTGCTCAAGACACTTGCTAGCTGGATAGATTTGGTAAAGGACTATTAATGATGAAGGTTTTAGACCATGCTTTACACCACTGCCAATACAGCCGCATAAGTCGTATTATTGTTAATCACGAGACAAACATAAATTTATAGACACAACATGGGAAAAGTGCTGGAGTGAAAAATAAGCAGGTATTCTCATGTTGAAGTTATAAATATAAAACATATGGATCATTAGCAATAACTAAAAAAACATTGGAAACATCTGACCCACTGTTTGAAACCGGAAGAATGCGTGCAACACCCTTTATCACAATTTAATCCACCACAAGCACCGATCCCATCCTACCACAGCTCCCAATCAAATCACTCTGGCGCCCACAAGGGTTGACCCCGCAAGGGTTGACCCCGGGGCCCCCCACGGTCCTGACCTTGCTGAAGTCCATGTTGCTGTTATCACGGCTGACCCCCTGGCGGCAGTCACCCTGCTGTCTGCCCTCCACGTCCGTTTGCCCGGGGGCGGTCGGAGGAGACAGGAGGTGGCCTGCGGGCAATGTCATCAAAACGGACGATTCAGTCACAAGAGACAAACGTGCGATCACCCACCTCTCATGATCCGTGCGGCGATTCCATTTCAGAATTGATTATTTTTGTTTAGCTTTTGTTTATCTTCTCATTCGTGTTTTTTTTTCCAGTTTCATTGGTATCAGTTTGTTCTTGTTAACTGAAATGTTCATCCAGCATGGAAACTGTGTACAATTTGCATAGAAAATCGATTCTCATGCGTCCAGTAATCACAACCCTGAATTGTGGCATTTCATTGCATTGCCCCTCTGCAGTTCAGTCAAGGTTTGGAGATTGAGCGAAGATTATATAGGCATGCTACCACATTGAAGGTGACACACGTGCACACTCAAATGAAGCTGTCGCTATGAATAATTCCTTCGACATTTACCTGTTGTTTTACTTATCAATTGAAAAGCTTTAAAACTCAAAATTTTCATACTAAATCCATGTATGTTGGCCACTCTCCCCTACCTTCCTACATGGCCTGGCATTTTAAGTTGCAAGGCAAACACTGTCCCCATGTTGCTGTGAAACCTTAACCAAATGCCATTCTTTGATCAAACTTCCCACCCGCCGTATCCCTTTACAGGAGCTCCAGCCCTATCAGATACACCCACCAGGCATATTGTAAGATAATCCACCGTGACTCAGCAGTACACACCAAATTGTTGCAACTACAGGGTCCTTTGTATTATCGGTGGCCCCAAAACGTGCACTTCATGGTGTTTATTTTGTCAGCTGCTGCCTCAAAGTTTAAAAGGCATGTGTTCAGAAAATTATATTTCAAAGGTTAACATGTGAGATGCAACCTGCCTCTGCACTCATAGCATCTCACTCTGCATGGCTACAGATGTTGTGATTTTGTACACGGTCTTACATGATCTGTTTTAATCATGAGTGTATTTAATTTATAAACACATCATCACAAGACACCCACATCAAATTACCAACAATATTAGTATGTTGTTAGGTTAAAAACAAAATAGCTAACCAAGCCAGGATAATTGCACACCAATCACTGAATGTGTTAGTACCTTGAATCACGGCAATTTACTAAATATGAGCACCGCATCACCATGCTCCCACCACCATGCTTCCCCTACCCATCTCCCGATCTTCTTCTGGAGGGTGGATAATGACATCTGGAATGTGGTCTCCCGGAGAAGGCAATGGAGACTTCCAGTCACCGCTGTCGTAATTCTCGCAAGTACTGCCATACCTATCGGGAGATGGCAAATGGCCATGCTGCTCAGAGGATCCTTCACCACCATCGCCTCTGTCAGCTTCCAATGGGATCTTATCGAATGTGAAAACCAGGGGGGCAACGTCAGCGTGGCTGGGAAAGAAGCCGCCCTCTTTGTGGCCCCTATCAGCCAGAGTCTTGGCGGTCCAGTCGGGCGAAAGTAACGGGGACTGTGGACTGTGGCAGACGGGCGATGCCGGCGGCGTGCCGCCACGCGATGGGCTCGGGCTGCCTGGCGCCGAGCTCGGGCTGCTCGGTGTCGAGCCGTGATGCTTCAGAGAGCCAAGGATCAGGGAGAGGCGAGACGCAGTGAGCGACGAGTGTCTAAAGGCTAAGAGGCCCGCTTCGTCTAATGCACAGAGAACAGCGACAGAGAGGGGAGGGGGGGGGGGTGAAAGAAAAGAAGGGGGCAGACGGCGAAGTTTAAAGAGCAACCGAAATACAAGCTGACAAGCAAGGGAACTTGGGAAGGACAGACATGAAAGATGGTAAAGCACTGGACACGAATTCGCAAGTCAAATACAATGAAAGTATCGAAAATGTAAATGCTACCAAGTGTAAAAAAACACGTAAAGAAATGTTACACTAGAAAGGGTTTCCTTACATAAACAATAAAATTGAAGAGCCAAAATAGTCTACTCCAGAGACTTTAAATGAAAGGCAGAAAAGTCTCATCATTTTCCAAACTCCATTTCCACAGTACTCTTTTGGATCTGATTAGTGATCATATGCAAGCAAAGTGAACTTCACATGCTATTCTACCAGAGAGTACAGCACATCAGACTTCTGACCTATCGTTACACAATTCTGAGCATTATCTTGTCATATGCGTAGGGTTTTCTGGCCACCATGGTTTCTTCCCACAGATGAAAATGCTCAAGAAAGGAACTGGCCAACCATTTCAAGCAGGGCTGTCTTGACAAAGAACCTCAAAATGGTAATTCAACCTTCCTAGATAGATAAAGTACACTTTCACAAATGGGAAACTTGGCACACACAGTACCTTGCACCACAGAGATGACGGGCAAGGTAGTGACTTTTGAATCACATGCGGTGGCCCAACGTCCCCTTTGATTCCCAGCCCAAGCGGAAAAAGCCAACGGCAGAAAGTCTCACCATTCTTGTCTTGCACGTGAACATCCGAGTACTTCTTGCCCATGTCGGCCAGCGACCTCACGATCGGGATCTTGTTGCTGAGCTTGCTGTCATTCTGGTGCCGGTGCTTCCTGAGCAGCGCGTCCCGCATTCGGTCGCGTACGCTCTCGTCCAGCAGGCCCGACGACACCTGGTTGTCCAGGACCATGTCTGCGGGGCGGCGGATGGGACGCAGTCATGAGGCAGTGTCAGCCAAGTTGCTGATATGACACTGAACTATTATTTGCGAGCGGATTCGCCGGGCTGCGGATTAGCCGGGCTGCACATTAACCGCGCGTGTGAAAAAATACATATTTTTAGGTGCACACTGGTTTCGTTAACACTTGCCGAGGGTTAGCGACTCGGTGTCGATGTGGCTGTAAAAATCTCGGGAAGCAAACCGATTACTTCAAGAAACAAAACACGACAAATGGTGTCTCCACCCCCCTCCTGCATTGTTAACCAATGCATGTGTTTAGCCTAATTTACAGTGGGATTGCATTTTCCGTGTTGTTGTTTCACCCGGGCCGGCCTTCCCGCCCCACTATGCTCACCTATCTAGAAGTGCCAAAGGAGTGTTTTGATGGAACTCATGTTGCCGGCAGTCCTGAGCTACCGGTGGATGTTCCACTTTTCTGTGGCAGAGATCACCATTTCTAGAATAAGATAACTGCTCACCCGCCACAAAGTAGCACTCGTTTTGATCAACTTGAAAACAACCTCTGATTTGGATGAGTCAAATAACGCCGCCAGAGCACCGCATAGTTAGAAAGAGTATAACAGGAGAGGCCAAATGATAATCAAGACAACTATAGTTTAAATTTTGATTTAAAGCTTTCGTGATTGCAGGGATTCATATTCTTGGTTCTTTCGGTAATTGATTGTTCACGCTTACAGTGGCTTTCAGACCGTATCCATTATTTTTTCGTCTCCCCCTCCTCTTTTCCGAACATAGATGGACTCGTCCATCTGAACAAACTGTCAAATCTCTCTCCGTGGTGCTAACGTTAAAAATAACCGCCACTTTTTTTCAAATTTTCTTGCTGTGGTTTTCACACCTGATGATGATTGCTTGTGTTGCAGTCGAAACGTCGTGAGAATTGTATTGTTTTATATTTTTATTATTTTATTGTTTCCCTTCTACGTGACTTTACCGAAAGAACCAAGAATATAGATAAATTACTGTACTGTGTGACTGCTTGCGATTTTAATTTGGACTATACACACAAAACGATTCACCTCCACCGCAATTTTTAGGTGTTAGTTGCACACATCAATGAAGAGGAATTTGTCTCAATTTGCTGTCATGTGTCCAAAGTTTGTGTTTTACTGCTACATAGTTGTAGAAGGCTAAAGGCATATTAGCATATTTGGCTACGTAAAGTGCGAAATACGTTCAAAATACATATGTACAGGTAGTTCCCGACTTACGATGGTCCGACTTATGATATTTCGATCTTACGACGAAGATAGCGATATGACGAAATTGTAAAATATTTTTTTATTTCGCGCGGCAGGCAAACGCAGCAGCGTACTACGAGGTACGATACTGTAACTTCATCACCGCCATCCTCCTCTTCCGACAACTAAGTTAATGTAGCCATCAACAACCTAACATCGTTCAAGTATGCAGACGACGGACAGAATGTTGGCGAGTACAGTACAATGATATGTTACGATACGTTAAATGCATGTATGATACATAGCTTTAGCGATTTCTTTTTAGGGTTACCACGATACGATACGCATGTTAAAACTTTTTTTTATAGCAGATAGGATTGTTTCCTGAACAAACTTTCTATGAAATTGCAGTTCATATAGGTAGGCTAAGAATTTACCTGTTTTTTTACTTCACATTTTACTGTGCAATACAGTATTGTAATTAATAAATACATACAGTATATAGTTTACACAGTACGGTACTGTAAATTGCTCTGTTTTGCTAAATTATCACCATTCTTTAAGACTCCTGGGTAGGCTAGGCCATTTTCGACTTACAGTGAGGAAAAAAAGTATTTGATCCCCTGCTGATTTTGTACGTTTGCCCACTGACAAAGAAATGATCAGTCTATAATTTTAATGGTAGGTTTATTTGAACAGTGAGAGACAGAATAACAAGAAAATCCAGAAGAACGCATGTCAACAATGTTATAAATTGATTTGCATTTTAATGAGGGAAATAAGTATTTGACCCCCTCTCAATCAGAAAGATTTCTGGCTCCCAGGTGTCTTTTATACAGGTAACGAACTGAGATTAGGAGCACACTCTTAAAGAGAGCTCTCCAGGAATATCAGGGACAAGATTGTAAACCTACACAATGCTGGAATGGGCTACAAGACCATTGCCAAGCAGCTTGGTGAGGTGACAACAGTTGGTGCGATTATTCGCAAATGGAAGAAACACAAAATAACTGTCAATCTCCCTCAGCCTGGGGCTCCATGCAAGATCTCACCTCGTGGAGTTGCAATGATCATGAGAACGGTGAGGAATCAGCCCAGAACTACACGGGAGGATCTTGTCAATGATCTCAAGGCAGCTGGGACCATAGTCACCAATAAAACAATTGGTAACACACTACGCCGTGAAGGACTGAAATCCTGCAGCGCCCGCAAGGTCCCCCTGCTCAAGAAAGCACATATACATGCCCATCTTAAGTTTGCCAATGAACATCTGAATGATTCAGAGGACAACTGGGTCAAAGTGTTGTGGTCAGATGAGACCAAAATGGAGCTCTTTGGCATCAACTCAACTCGCCGTGTTTGAAGGAGGAGGAATGCTGCCTATGACCCCAAGAACACCATCCCCACTATCAAACATGTAGGTGGAAACCTTATGCTTTGGGGGTGTTTTTCTGCTAAGGGGACAGGGCAAATTCACCGCATCAAAGGGATGATGGACGGGGCCATGTACGATCAAATCTTGGGTGAGAACCTCCTTCCCTCAGCCAGGGCATTGAAAATGGGTCGTGGATGGGTATTCCAGCATGACAATGACCCAAAACACACGGCCAAGGCAACAAAGGAGTGGCTCAAGAAGAAGCACATTAAGGTCCTGGAGTGGCCTAGCCAGTCTCCAGACCTTGATCCCATAGAAAATCTGTGGAGGGAGCTGAAGGTTCGAGATGCCAAATGTCAGCCTCGAAACCTTAATGACTTGGAGAAGATCTGCAAAGAGGAGTGGGACAAAATCCCTCCTGAGATGTGTGCAAACCTGGTGGCCAACTACAAGAAACGTCTGACTTCTGTGATTGCCAACAAGGGTTTTGCCACCAAGTACTAAGTCATGTTTTGCAGAGGGGTCAAATACTTATTTCCCTCATTAAAATGCCAATCAATTTATAACATTTCTGACATGCGTTTTTCTGGATTTTTGTTGTTGTTATTCTGTCTCTCACTGTTCACATAAACCTACCATTAAAAATATAGACTGATCATTTCTTTGTAAGTGGGCAAACGTACAAAATCAGCAGGGGATCAAAACTTTTTTCCCTCACTCTACGATATTTTCGACTTACGATGGGGTCATCGTAACGCATCTCCATCGTAAGTCGGGGACTATTTGTAGTGAGTCCAACTGAGTCGCAGACGTTCTTTAGAGGCAACACTTTTATTGTAACATCAACCCGTTAACACAAAGGGGTAACTGCCCCTTCACCAGATACAGCCTAGGGTGGTGACCACCCAGCTAACTACTCTATGCGTAGGAGTTATAGCTACTAAGGGTCAGACCCTCACTCGGGTCCCCGACCACGTGTTGATGCCTCGTTAGACATGGAGCTTCCAGCTTGAAAAATGCAGGGACCCCAGTCCCTCTCAGGGACCCACCTTATATATCCTCCTGGGTCGGGGCCGCTCCGCCCTCGGCCCCGCCCGCCTTCGAGCGTTCTAGCTCCCTCCCGATCCCTCTCGAGAGCTCTCCCCGGACACGTGATCACCCCCTAGCCCCCCCCCCCACCTGAGGCCCTCTGTGGACACTCCGGATCACGTGCCTACGGGGTCAACCAGAGTGCCATGGCTCGGGGCAACCCTGCCCCTGGGCTGACACTCTCCCACTCCCCCTTGTGGGAGCCCCCACCACACACTATGCATGGTGCCCGCGCTATCCCAGCGCTCACCAAGCCCCGCCAGGGCTGGTACTACACCCGCCTACGGGGTGTACGCGATGACGGTGCATCGCACGCCGTGCTGTGCTAGAGCCGGCCTCACACAGCAACCCACACGGTGCTGTCCGCGACGTAAGTACATCGCACGCCACGGTCCTCTCGGGCCAGCACCATACAGTGACATCCCGGATGTCACTACACATACATAAGGAAACCATAAAATCTTAAATGTGATTTGATGTATTATAATGAGCGTAAGAATCGATTTTAAATCGATAAAATTAAGAATTACTTCGTGCCAACTGGACCGATCACACCACACTGGGGCATTAGCCAGCCAGCTGCTGTGGCTTTATGCTGTAACACATTGCATCTGATGACACTTTGTTTCAGTGCAGAGAAGGAAACAGCAGATTAGCAGAGTGTGAAGAGACAAAGTGGGCAGTGGCAAGTGCCTTTTAGAAGGCTAGCAAAGGCCCACAGGCATGGGTCCAATCACCAGACATTCTTGGCATGCAGTTGTGCCAGCCAAGATAACGGGTTAGGGAGTGAATTTTATTTTTAAAAACATCCGAAACAATACCTGTGTAAGCATATTGATGTTAGGTGCAGTCCTAAGACTGTAGTAAACAGTGAGTGTTTACAGTGGTTTCTCATTGTACAAACGTTGCCAGGTGTATAGAACAAACATTTAAAAAAAGCAGTGATCTAACCCTCATATTTGAAATGGCCTTAAGGGCCTGGGCATTTCATATATGCATTTGCCCTGGCAAGGTCAACTTCTTTTGGCGTTTCCTTACTCAAATCACTTTGCGGTGTTGCTCACTCATCTGCGTTGGTGCGCCTGAAGCCAGTGGTGAAAATTCCACATTCGTATGGCGGGGGCAAATCTATCCGTACCAAAACCGCTGTTGAATTTTGACGAAGCAGAACTCGATTTATGTACCCCGAAAGAGATCATGTATCAAGTCGAAAAGCTGGCTGGAAATTGAACGCGCACAACCTTCCAAATGTAAGTCAGGAACTCGGGAAATGAAACACGAATACCGTAACAATCAAAAACTTTCACGAGTAAAACGTTCTAGCAGCATCACTAAGCTGGCTGAAACTTAAGCTGCTTAACATCCAGCCTGTAGCTTGTCTGGAATTCGTAGTACAGTGAGTAAACAGTGGCTTGTTGCCCACATTGAATTCACCCACTTATCACCTTGGTTGTCCTCTTAAGGAGATAACTGAAGCTCTAACAGTTAAAGTAGGGCACGTGGAGCTGCACAAACTCAGAGGGTATATATAGGTAAAGAAATTACCTCATCATTATCAGAGCCAACCATGGTCTATCCACTCCTGGATGAAGACATGCACAATCTATTGGCATTTCTCAGTCTCGCAGTGAAAAAATCCAACTAACTCCTGCAAGAGCCAATTTCATCACTACAGCTCCACGGTGGATATCACCTTGGGCACGTTAACCTCTCTTGGTTGGCATTCCTTATTAGTCTCGACCGCCGGCCATCATTTTTTTTTATACGAAGCATCTTGCCCGAGCCCACTTGTTCTTCTTAACAGTCAATATAATGCCTGTACCGTGCATATCTTCTCTGGATACGTGTGCTGCGATTCCCGTGCCGCAATGTCAATTCAAAAATGCATCTCTTATAATAATTTAAACTTGCGACACGAGCTGGCGCCAAGCTCTGCAGTCCCCTATATATCAAGGTGGTATAGGCCAATTAATGAGTGTTAACATGCTTATTTTGCACACTTTGCCATTTTTCTCCCATTTTCTTTGTCAATGTCCATCTGTCTGATCCATGTTATAGCAGGTAATATACATTGTTGAAACATTTTCTCATAATACGCAAACGGGATAACATTCAACACAATGCTCCCTCTTCAGAGCAGTCATGTATCTGTTGTGAAGATCACATCAAAACCATCTACATGGGTTTTCCCCAATGTCAGGGCAGCAGGACTGCTGTAAGCAGGGAGTATAGCACACTGGCTTATTGAACTGTCTGTGTGACCTCTGAATATTATCTACTTGCATGTGTGGGTTTTCTCTTGGCACTCTGATTTATTCCCAAACGGAAAAAAAATGCTCAAAAATAAATTGGACATATATTTTAAGCAAGACCACCCCCCCAGAGAAAGTGCAAGGACTCTGGGTAAACACGTACAGTACTACAGTAATGTTATTAGTTTCCCTGGAAAGGTTTATCAATCAGCATAAATGCAACTAGATGTTTATTTACTTGTGCACTTATTCAAATTACTAAACCGCACAGAAGATGAGGCAACGGAAGTCTTTGGGAATATTTATTTAGATTTTAGGCAATCGTCTGCCTCCCTGACATGCAACCGCATCTCATCATGCCGAGGTCGTGACGTTATTACCACTGTCAGAACTGCATCAGAGCCTGCCGTGCGGACACTTTTATTTGTAAACCCACGACCGCACCGCCAATAAATGCGAACTGCACAGGATGAAGACAGCACGCCAGCCACGCGTCAAGTAAACACACCTAACTACCGGATGCGACCAATGCTGTGCCCCGCAGGCAAGGGACGTGCGTCATGCCAGCTAAGACCTCATCATAATCATCAGCCGTGGTCTCTCCACTGCTCGATTAAGGTATCCCCTCAAGCCGCCACCACCTCACAGTCCTGAGGTGTAATAATCCACCGAGCACCTGTATTAAAAAACGAATTTCATCGCTTCATCTCCTTGGCGGGACGTGCTCTCGATGACAGCTGAAGTGACCGGCAAATGGCTGAGGGTTTACTAACACTACTGAGAGCATAAGGATGTTGCTTATGGGGACATCTGTGAAAAAGAGATTTATAACTCATTGGATTCATCCAGTATGAATAAATATTCTGATTCTGAAATGCAAACCAATGCTACACATAGGTCAAGATTCTAAAAAGTGTCTGATTCTGAAATGCAAACCAATGCTACACATAGGTCAAGATTCTAAAAAGTGTCCCCATTCTCAAATTAGCATTGAGCTATACAAAATACTTGAGCTGGTGATGGACATTCCACATCCTTAAGACAGGGATATATCCTTATTTACAACAACCACTGCAGACTTCCCCCATAAGGTTAATCCATCGCAGAGCTACAACCAGCAAACAGGATTGTAAATGACAACCTTCAGACTGTGTCGCTCTCTCTGTGACAATGCTACCCAACCAAATAAGCTGTATGAATATTATATTGTGCATGGCAAGAGATATTTTTGACCACCAGATGTCTGATGTCAGTTTGCCTCAACTTTAATTATTATGATTCAGTAATTTACTGAAGCACATGTCTTAAGGCTAAGCTTCTTTTACATATAAAAATAATACTGTTTGGTTATTGTTTGTGGTATTAGTGGTGGTATACTGCGAGGGGTTTTGAGCGTAACCCGCCGTCCTCCAAGTGACATCAAAAGCTAAAATGGGACGAGTTTAAGCCTGGGAAAATTATGCACAAACAAAAAACTCTGTAACTCATAATACAAATGAATTTTTCTGATAATACACAATGTTGATTTTACCAAAATGCCATGTTAATTTGTTAACAGTAATATTATAAATGTACATTAATGCATTTCCTATACTATTAAAGATGTGATTAAAAAAATGTTGCTTTTGTACCCCAAGCAACCTTACAATAACTCTCAGGTATCACTAAATTGTGAAGCCACCAGTGTTTGTGCCAGACTTACATGATGTAAGCAAAGGCTCAATGACAGGTGACAGGACAGACCCAGATAATACGGGTTAACAAACGAGTGTCTATAGTGTGTGCTGGCAGGTGCGCCCCCACTTCCAAAACTCTGCTCATTGCTATGGGAATTAATTATCTGCATAATGTTATAGGGAAGGAGGGTGCCACCAGCTTGCCTTATACTGTAATTGACAATGTTCCTCTTGAAAGACAAAACAGTTTTGCGGCAACTCCCATCAGTAAATAAAATAGATGTAGCGTTCCAATATTTTCACAGAGCCGATCAAAACTAAACATTCGACCACGTGTTGTGGCAGATCACTCCCCTTAAAATCAAAAGAGCATAAATTCAAATCCTGGTAAGGAAGTACCGTATTTTCCCGCATATAACCCGCGGGGTATACCACTTTTTACAAACAAAACAAGACCCTGCGGGGTATATGGAGGTGCGGGCTATCCCAAAAATATTTTACACGTGTGACCATGTCATAACTCGTTTATTTTTTTCATGGTAGGACTATCCCCGATGCAACACTTACCTTTGAGTAAAGCACTGTTGAATAAACCACTCACACTTAAAATTGCACATGTTACCACGTTTTAAATTATTCGAATTGTTTGTACAATGAAACGACAATGTTTGAAGTGGGCGCACTTTGTTTACCGTAATACTTTCAATGGCTGTAGGGGGGTGCGAAAGTTTCAGCTGAGGCTATGGATTGCACAATGGGAAGGGCCTTAACAAACATCTAACAGACTCGGAATCATACCGGTAATTGCTGAGTCCCTTAGGCCGCTACTATTGGCTGAGCACTATACAGTCGCGACCACGAGCTTTTTTTCAAACTTCCAATGGCTTTGTTGCCAAGAGGCCATGGCGTTACCGTAGTGCCGCTATTATCCGCGCAGCGCGCAATCTACCAGTGCTAAAACTGTGCAGGGGTAACTATCGGTCCAGTAGCTGTAATATGGTGCGGTCGAATGCTGGTAAGCCTAACAGTACGCTTACTTACTTATATACCAGTTATGTGTTACTTATTTATTGGGTATTTACTTTTGTTACTTATTTACTGTTTCAAGTTCACTCGTTTCCGGTTATTGTTTTCTTTGTGCACGTTATGATTTTAATGTTAACAATTGATAGTGGAATGTATTACAAATGTAAACTTTGTATTTATATGATGGAATTAAGCTGCGGTAACGACCTTAAAAATATGAATGCATGCGGGGAATATGGAGGTGCGGGCTATCTGAAATTTGTTTTACACAAAACGCTATTTTTGCGGGGTATATGCGTATGTGGGCTATATGCGGGAAAATACGGTAATAATTCAACTATCATTTCTCCAAAGTCGATAAGTTTGAATACAGCTTTGTGCTGACTCAGGATCACCAACAAAGATGAGTGCCACCTACACACCCGTATGAGTAGGAAGGCACTGGCCATTTACATTGCAGGCCTTTAGACGTTACTTTCATAAGAATAAACTAAATATATAATTTGTATAATGTCTGTAATTTCCTGAATCTCCAAAATACACCCAACCTTAGCTTATTTTGAAAACTTCCAACTCACTACTTAATGCAAATCATGTAATAAAAATTAGACGAGTCCACACGTAAAATTCCATCACAAAGCTTTTTTTATATTCTTGGTTCTTTCGTGACTTTACCTAAAGAACCAAGAATATGAATCCATGCAGTCACGAAAGCTTTAAATCACATAGCTTTTGTTAAATTCTTGGTGTGTAACAGTGAATTAATTCATGAATATTATAATAAAAAAAAGCCACCGTGATTTTCGAACTCAAATTAATCCCAAGGGGAGGGAGACTTGGAAAAGCCAAACCTGCTATCTCATCCAGTGTGCTGGCCTTCATGTCGAGCATGACCGTGCCGCTCATGATGCAGCTGCGCAACTCGAAGAGGCTGTGCAGTGACAGTGTCGCCACGTAGGGCTTGCTCCAGCGCTCCCCACCATCCTCCACGTCTTCCTCAAACTTCAACCACCTTCAAAAGGGGGCGTAGAGCGGAGCAAAATTGCAGCGCACCACCAGCAACAATACATGTATGCATATTGAACTTCTTTCGCAACGTACGTAGCCAACCGTGCTAATCATGTCCATAAAGCAGACAAATCAGCAAGGGACCTGTAAACACCTGGGTTTTATTTTTTACAAAATGTTTTCTCTAACCTTGCCATATTGGCCCATTAGTCATGTTAGGCAATAAGGAAATACATTTAAACACATACATATATAAACACACGTTGGTATGTTTTCCGTCATCCCTGGTTTCTCTAGGCAGCAGCACCCTTGCATGGCTCCCATCCTACCCAGCCTCATGAACAAACTTAGCAAGCCATAAACCACAGGCTGCATTGGTGGAGGTTGCCCTCTGATGCATCAGAAATAAGACAAACATCTAATTCATGAGTGCATAAAAACTTCATGAGCGTATGAATGGACATGATCCAAACAGCCAAATATAGGGCCACAGACAGAGATTACGCAATTGTTGGTGCCGGTTCTGGCTGCCTTCCCGCTTGCCTACGGTGTCCCCGAGCCTCTGCGTGAAAACTGTGCGCGTCACAAATTCTACGGCGTCTTGTGATGCAATGTGCATGAATGACACTATTAAAAACCCATATATTTATTTTAATTCTTTTTAAGGATTGCTTCCGAAAGACAAGCAAGCGAGAGCGGTACCGGGCAGTCTCCCTCCATTCGCTCTCGTCCCCGTCGCGCATGCAGATCTCGTCCATTTCGGTGAAGAGGTCGTGAGGGATATGCTCCTCGTCATCATCCTCCGTCCCCAGGATGAACTGCACACGCTGCGACGGCGTATCTAGAAGGCGACGCACACAGGCACCGGCTCTCGTTAGCCCACTGTCCAGATGCTCACGCTCAAAAGCGGTCAAAGCTGAAGGAGACTCCCGATGCAAAATAACATAAGGAGAGTGGTCGTCTCCAACTGGGACCACCGCGACAGTGGTGGAAATTCCACATTCCCATATTAGCGGCCAGACAAATTAACAGAGGTCAATCGCTGTTAAATTCCCACAAAGTAGTTCCGACTAGTTTTGTCAACTCTGCAGGGATGATGGACTGAGTTAAACCCCAAACTGCGATTTTATCTCACGATCTTCCTATTGTGCCATCATGGGTCTTTACCAGCATCTCCCACTGGGGTACATTCATTATGTTTGGACACAAATCCCACACAAAAGTGGGTATACATTTAACTTTGATGATATATTTTGATTTTAAAGCTTTTGTGACTGCAGGGATTCATATTCTTGGTTCTTTCGGTAAAGCCACGTAGAAGGGAAACAATAAAATTATAAAAATATAAAACAATACAATTCTCACGATGTTTCGACTGCAACACAAGCAATCATCATCAGGTGTGAAAACCACCAAGCAAGAAAATTTGAAAAAACCATAGCAAGAAAATTTGAAAAAAAAATTATTGCTGTGGTTTTCACACCTGATGATGATTGCTTGTGTTGCAGTCGAAACATCGTGAGAATTTTATTTTTTCTATTTTTATAGTTTTATTGTTTCCCTTCTACGTGACTTTACCGAAAGAACCAAGAATATACATTTATTATGTTTGGACAAAAATCCCACACAACAGTGGGTACACATTTAACTTTGATTATATAGTTGCATGCATGTTATAAATACAGGTAGTCGCCGAGTTACGATGGTCCGACTTACGATATTTCGATCTTACGATGGCGATACGATAAAATTGCCATCAACAACCCAACATCGTTCAAGCATGCAGACGACGGACAGAATCTTGGTGAGTACAGTACAATATGATACGTTACGATACGTTCAATGCATGTATTATACGTAGCTTTAGCAATTTCATTTTAGGGTTATCACGATACGATACGCATGTTAAAAGTTTTTATAGCAGATAGGATTGTTTCTTGAAAAAACTTTCTATGAAATTGCAGTTCATATAGGTAGGCTAAGAATTTACCTTGTTTTTTTTTACTTTACATTTTACTGTGCAATACAGTATTGTAATTAATACATACAGTATATAGTTTATACAGTACGGTACTATAAATCGCTCTGTTTTGCTAAATTATCACCGTTCTTTTAAGACTCCTGGGTAGGCTAGGCCATCTTCGACTTACGATATTTTTGACTTACGATGGGGTCGTCGTAACGCATCTCCATCGTTAGTAGAGGACTGCCTGTAAATGCGTTTTTACCATACGAATATCTCCGTTTGTTTGTGTACAAGTTTTATATTTTACAAGGCGATACAGAATATTTTAACAAATATGATCTCATTGGTACCAGATTGACAGCTTAAAGAATGTGCAACAATGCAATTGTTGAGTTTCCCGTAAAATAATGTGATAATCATTAGGGGAAACATTTGATGTGCTATAACATATAAAAGGGTTCTTATCTGTTCTATGAACAATAGCTTCATTTTAGGAGTGTCCCTGAGCATCAAAATATTATCAAAATAAACGGACTGAATTGAACTGAATGACATTTTTTCATGTTATTGTTAATTGAAGTAACTTGGTGGAAAAGATTACTCTGTCACATGAACTGAAAAATGACATCGAGCTAGCTAAAGCTTGTATATGTCCTGAAAACACCATTTTTAAAAAAAAAACCCAATGTTATATTTACTCAAAGCCAATAATATGAAAATAAAATTAATTGAAAGAAAACATGAATGCCGATTATTATTATTAAGCTCTCTCAAAAACATTTACTTATCTACACGTTTTCACCATTGCAGATCGCAACAGAGACCTTTTTTTCTGCACACAACCAACAATGTAATACTGACCTTCGGCTATATTTCACAAACCATCGATGCAATTACATGATACCCTTAGGTGAGCAAATGCCCTTTCTCTGCTGCAGAACACCTTAAGGTCCTCACTACATTCATCTCACGGCCTGTGGCTCTCATTCCTGTCTCTCCTGGTGACAGCTCCACCGAGCGGAGCACAGCTGCCCATGTGTCCGCCCACACAAGGAGCCGAGTGGCCTAGACCAGCGGCTGCACAACAGGGCTCGAAATAATTCACACTCTCCATCATAATGGACACCGCTAACACGTTTTTAGATTCTCAGTCCGTGGACACCTCGGCGTATATAAAATGGGTAGCGACCATTGGCGCTTATGTAGCACGCAACTATTTTGACCTTGAAATGTTTTTAATAACACAAACTCATGGCATAAGCCCAAATAAGATTTACAACCTAGTATAGCGGCCAGCTCTGTGAAACATACCCGACGTGTGATATTGCAAACCCCATGCCAGCGCGTGGCCGACTGTACCTTAAACGAGCAGTACCATTCAGTGTGGATCAATGTAATTTTTCAAACTATCTTTGTTTTGGTGGTTTTACATAGGCAATGAGATTATCCGTGTAAATAAAATGTCAATTTTATTTTTAAGCTTCTATATAATAAAGGCAAATACAGAAATGGCATTCATACATAGAGTATATCCCAACCAACCAAACCTAATAATATCCTGGAGGATATAGATAAAAATGATATTGGCAATTAGCAGCAGCTTGGATGAATAAAATGCTATTCATTAAATATAATAGCGAAAATAATCATGGGAGATAGTAAACATCACAATAGAGTAAAATACACAAGACAGGCATAAATAATCAGAAAAAAATACATCACTCCAAATGCGGTTGCAGTTTTGTTTCCACCGAGGCTTGAAAAGCTGCGGTGATGTATATCAATTACAGACAGGCACACCCAGAAATTATTTGAACATCTGCTCAAAGGTAGTTAAATAATTTGAATGTGCATAAATCTTCAAAGTTATTTCTGTTCATATCACATCAATACAAACACAAGTTTTACTTCAAATAGTGGTCTTTCATGTTTCTTAAAATTGGCGCGAGCCTCATTTAATGACATTTTGGTTCTGCATTGATGAGATAACATGCCAAAGTGGTAGAGGGCCCATTCATAGCCAAAAATTGTCATGAATAAGAGAGACGCACGAGCTATAAGAATGTGAGTCAGGGAGACGTGAGGGAGACGTGAGGGAGACGTCAGGGAGACTGAGTCAGGGAGACGTCAGGGAGACTGAGTCAGGGAGACGTGAGTCAGGGAGACGTGAGTCAGGGAGACGTGAGTCAGGGAGACGTGAGTCAGGGAGACGCGAGTCAGGGAGACGTCAGGGAGACGTGAGTCAGGGAGACGTCAGGGAGACGTGAGTCAGGGAGACGTGAGGGAGACGTGAGTCAGGGAGACGTGAGTCAGGGAGACGTGAGTCAGGGAGACGTGAGTCAGGGAGACGTGAGTCAGGGAGACGTGAGTCAGGGAGACGTGAGTCAGGGAGGCGTGAGTGAGGGAGACGTGAGTCAGGGAGGCGTGAGTGAGGGAGACGTGAGTCAGGGAGACGTGAGTCAGGGAGACGTGAGTCAGGGAGACGTGAGTCAGGGAGACGTGAGTCAGGGAGACGTGAGTCAGGGAGACGTGAGTCAGGGAGACGTGAGTCAGGGAGACGTGAGTCAGGGAGGCGTGAGTGAGGGAGACGTGAGTCAGGGAGGCGTGAGTGAGGGAGACGTGAGTCAGGGAGACGTGAGTCAGGGAGACGTGAGTCAGGGAGACGTGAGTCAGGGAGACGTGAGTCAGGGAGACGCGAGTCAGGGAGACGTGAGTCAGGGAGACGTCAGGGAGACGTCAGGGAGACGTGAGTCAGGGAGACGTGAGTCAGGGAGACGTGAGTCAGGGAGGCGTGAGTCAGGGAGACGTGAGTCAGGGAGACGTGAGTCAGGGAGGCGTGAGTGAGGGAGGCGTGAGTGAGGGAGACGTGAGTCAGGGAGACGTGAGTCAGGGAGACGTGAGTCAGGGAGACGTGAGTCAGGGAGACGTGAGTCAGGGAGACGTGAGTCAGGGAGGCGTGAGTCAGGGAGACGCGAGTCAGGGAGACGTCAGGGAGACGTGAGTCAGGGAGACGTCAGGGAGACGTGAGTCAGGGAGACGTGAGGGAGACGTGAGTCAGGGAGACGTGAGTCAAGGAGACGTGAGTCAGGGAGACGTGAGTCAGGGAGACGTGAGTCAGGGAGACGTGAGTCAGGGAGACGCGAGTCAGGGAGACGTCAGGGAGACGTGAGTCAGGGAGACGTCAGGGAGACGTGAGTCAGGGAGACGTGAGGGAGACGTGAGTCAGGGAGACGTGAGTCAGGGAGACGTGAGTCAGGGAGGCGTGAGTCAGGGAGACGTGAGTCAGGGAGGCGTGAGTCAGGGAGGCGTGAGTCAGGGAGACGTGAGTCAGACGTGAGTGAGGGAGGCGTGAGTCAAGGAGACGTGAGGGAGACGTGAGTCAGGGAGACGTGAGGGAGGCGTGAGTCAAGGAGCTATGAGGGAGACGTGAGTCAGACGTGAGTGAGGGAGACGTGAGTCAGGGAGGTGTGAGTCAAGGAGACGTGAGTGAGGGAGACGTGAGTCAGGGAGGTGTGAGTCAAGGAGCTATAAGGGAGACGTGAGTGAGGGAGACGTGAGTCAAGGAGCTATAAGGGAGCTATAAGGGAGACGTGAGTGAGGGAGACGTGAGTCAAGGAGCTATAAGGGAGCTATAAGGGAGACGTGAGTGAGGGAGACGTGAGTCAAGGAGCTATAAGGGAGACGTGAGTCAGGGAGACGTGAGTCAAGGAGCTATAAGGGAGCTATAAGGGAGACGTGAGTGAGGGAGACGTGAGTCAAGGAGCTATAAGGGAGCTATAAGGGAGACGTGAGTGAGGGAGACGTGAGTCAAGGAGCTATAAGGGAGCTATAAGGGAGACGTGAGTCAGGGAGGCGTGAGTCAGGGAGACGTGAGTCAAGGAGCTATAAGGGAGACGTCAGGGAGGCGTGAGTCAAGGAGCTATAAGGGAGACGTCAGGGAGGCGTGAGTCAAGGAGCTATAAGGGAGACGTCAGGGAGACGTGAGTCAGGGAGACGTCAGGGAGGCGTGAGTCAGGGAGACGTGAGGAGTCAGGGAGACGTGAGTGAGGGAGACGTGAGTGAGGGAGACGTGAGTGAGGGAGACGTGAGTGAGGGAGACGTGAGTCAGGGAGACGTGAGTGAGGGAGACGTGAGTCAGGGAGACGTGAGTCAAGGAGCTATAAGGGAGCTATAAGGGAGACGTGAGTGAGTGAGGGAGACGTGAGTGATGTTCCTGCACCATAAGCAGATGACTCGGCGTCATCCTGGCTCGCCTCCCGCTCGCGTTCCCGTCGCCGGTGGTGGTGCCGGTGGCCCCGATGTCGGTGACGCCGGTGACTGCGTCTGCCCGAGGGCACGTGCAGGCCGATATACACGGTCCGGTGAGCTGCTCGCACACAAGAAGCATACGCGGCACACGCAGGGAATCAAACAGCACACCGCAACGCAATGTGCGCTCAACCCATCACGCAACGCACACAACGTGCATGATACTCATCACGATTAGCACACAACACCGTGTACTGAAAAATAACAAAGACCCCCCCCCATGTAGCCTTAACAAACTGGCGGGGCAAGTGCTGTTCGCGAACACCTATGAAGGCTGGCACGGCACACAAGGGGGTGGGTGGACCAGCACCACACCCAGCCGCCTTTGTCTCCCCAGTGGCGATGTATACACACCTCACCAGGTAGTCATTTGAGGCTGAGTCGACCTAGGGGAGGCCCAGGGCCAGTTCAGATAATCGTCACTGGTGTTGGCCGTGAGTGGGAATCTAATACGGGTCGCCAGGTTTGTAGCGCAGCGCGCTAACCGCTACACTACAGCTCCCCACACATATAACAAGCATACATGAGCACACATAGACCAAGATTTACCATGAAGCCTTTTTGGCTGTTGGGGCACCTATTTATGATTGTTTGTGTTCTTGTCCACACTGGAAATCCTCACCGAGTCTCAGGACAATATTTCTGCATTGGGATATTTCGCAAAACACAAGTTAAATTGGATGAGGTTTTTTTTAGCTATGTGTACTGCACACACAACATATCACACATAGCACACGACACAATGAAAACTGCACACAACACAGCACACAGCACAATGTGTACTGGATGATGCCCAACAGGCAGCGCACACAGCACACCATGCACAGTACCACACATATGGCATAGCAGAGGTCATCACGTCTGCTCTGCGAGACACACCTTGTTCTCAATGCTTCAATTAATACTAGGTTTAATTAATACTGGTTTTGAGTGTTAAAAGTGGTCCAGCTACATATGTTACAATTTAAACTCCAGCATTCATGAATGTGAAGCTTGTGTCTCAACCATCCTCTAAGACTAACTAGAATTACATAAATCTGACTTCTGGGAAAACCAAATATACCGCTACACTTGCTTTGTAGAAAAATAAAGCTCACAATGTTGCCTTTATGCAGTAACGGACCGGCAAAAGGTGGAACCATTACTGCTCAAATGAGAAATTAATTTAACATGGGAATGAAAAAATTTAAAGGCGTTTTCTTTCAGCCAAGTCGTTCGCAATGTTTAATATTGGCTTAAGGTCTATGCTCTCCTGCGTTATTTGTATGTGCTCATGCAGGAATTGGATATACTTCGTGTCCAACTGTCGAACATAAACAACAGGGCTACGTACTTAAAGTGCCAGTTGTGAAAGACCTGAGAGATACTGTATCATTCGAGAGGCTGTACTGGAGGACCACACATAGAATGAATAGCTCACCGGCATCATTAATCAAGCTCGGATATCAGCACTGGTCGGGATAATTTTATCAGATTTATTTTTAGCAAGTACTTAATGACGTTGACATTAACAGCCAATGTCTTACATAACTGTGACGATATTATACATTTCACATTTAGTTTACATCTCAATTGCATTGTTAACTTTCTGAATGTAGCAAACTATATACCGGGAAATCAACTATAACTCCACATCAATTCCTAAATTAAAATATTCTTAAGCTTACGACACAAGCATTAAACAGCAGGTAACAAGATCGACCTCGTCAAGGTGGCCATGAAAAAAAAGTGGAGATGTTTAAACTAGCAAACAGGGTATTTCATTGTGTATGTGAGAACTGTGTACGTCTTATTGGTATATGTTGTACGTAATTGGTTTACAAAAACCCTGCACCCACCAAAAGTTCTACACACACATTGCAATGTAAAAACTAATTAATCTTTTTACCTTTTCGCGCCCCCCCCCCCCCAATTATATTAAAATTATTATATTAGCTACATAACATAAGACATATTCAGAACTCTGCAGCTATCATTGTAAACTCTCCCAAAGCACAGCTCTGAAAGATGAAATTACAGAACTACTTCTGAAGTCACTTGTACAGTGTAAGTCAGCTGCCTACATATGTACAATCAATAGTTGGAACACAGCATGAAAGGTGTTGAAGGCTGCTTCATTTCCATGGCAAGGTGCCTTGAAATGACCCTTCGATTAGAGATATGGTAGAAACGCAATGTACTCTTTATCATATTACTGCATGGATAGAATTCTCTATTTTTAGTGGTTGTATTACTAGCCACACTTATCAGGACTACTACTTTGTCACAACTGTCATATATGCGATATGCATATTCTTGGTTCTTTCGGTAAAGTTACGTAGAAGGGAAACAATAAAATAATAATATGCATGTTTTTACATCATATCATTTAAACTAAACATTTTGTTGTTATTTTAGCAGGTAAGGGCCACTGAGAAATATAGTTATTTAACAGAAGCACCTTGTTCACAAATGATAGCGCAATGAAGTGGCTTATCATGTGGAAATTTTTATAGTAGCCAAATACTCTAAACGCGATCATGGGGAGAAAATGCAAACTCCAAATGTACAGGCGTCGGGGTCAGGATTGAACCGATGATCTGTATACCAGGCAAGGAGGAAGTTAACGTCTCGCCACCGTGGCGCCCCTATAAAAGGTTATAAAAGATATAACCTATTATACGATGAATTTGACATCAATATAATGATACTGTCCTTTTGTTTCTAAAAGCCTTTGCAATACCCCACAACGTTACAGTGGAGTAATACAAATAAAAAGGGGATATTATTTTACACACCACACAGATAAGCAACTTGCCTGCTGTACTGCCACTTAAATCTCTTCCCAAGACCAGGGGTACTCATGTTTAAACATAACGAGCGAGATAGGGAGCGGGTGTTATTATGTTGGCCGGGTGGATCGATTTGTTTTTCCATTGCCGTCGTGCCACACACGCAGTGGGCTCTCACCATCCAGGTCTTCCTTCTCAAAGTTGGTCGTGTGGATGGTGCTGGTCTTTCCGCGATCCACCACCGCCTCCTCATCGTGCCTCTACACAAATACGGGCCACGACATCAGGACACAATGCATAACAGTCCTTAGCACAATTCTCGCTTGCTGAACACGTGCCCACAAAAAAAACAATCACTTTAGTTCGCCTTCCAGAACTCATTTGCTCAATTTCACAAAGGCCTGGACTCCACAATCAGTTCAATCGATCAGCAAGTGTTGGATTTGTGCAGAGGCGCACAATCTTAAGAGGCAATTAAGCCAAACCCCCCCTCCCCCCTCAGGAAATCAGCAGTCAGAACACCTTCATTGGAGAGGAACCTCATCAACCTTAAAAACAGACACTGTTCTTGGGAACTGTATAGGGAGACAAATGGGGGAGCTTTTAAGAACTAAATTTAACAAACCACAGAGATGTGCATTGCATGTACAAATACTTTGAACAGCAACCACTCCATGTGGCCCCAGAAGCCCCTAAGCTTTAACACGAGAGACAATAGTCATCATTCCATTCTTCAAGTGCTTTCTAAGCCACTGCCTTTAATAGCTGGGCCACGGTGTATTGGGTTCGGGAAACGTGACGGGCTCTGGGACGGCTGGCGGTGGTCGCAAATAAGAGGAGCTCTACGGCCCTCCGATGCGTTTTCCGGTTGTACCGCATGCTGTTCCGCACGATGTTCGACATTTCGCGATGTGTTGGGAGCACGCAGACGACTAATAGTTCCTGAAGAAGCTCCCAGGACGTGGCGCAAAATGTCAGACATGATGCCAAGTGTGACCTGAAACATGTTTGAAGGCTACGCAGCACACCGCCAATAAACCTAGGCAGTAAGTCGAGCTCCCTGCGACTCGCGAAGCTGCCCCCCTCTCCAGCTCAATGTGCTTGATTGCCCGGGCAGCAGCTGCCGCATTTCGATTAAATGGTTAACATGTTACTGTCGAGCTGTAATAACGGTAGCATCTGAATATGTTTATATTTTATTTTTAGCTTGAATACAAAATGTAAGGAAATACAGTACCATTAAGCAATGTCAAAATGAAAACAAATGTTTCGATCAGCAAAGTAATGATACATTATATTATTCAATGGCGATACCGGTTTTCATAATTAAACTATTACAGTAAAACGAGCACAATTTGACGCTTGCAACGTCGGCTTAAGAATCAATATTATTTGGTGCAATGGCGGAGCCAGGATTTTCAGGTAGGGGGGGCAACCCCTCCAGCAATGAAAAATGATAGAGGAGTTGTTAGTAAGTAAGGAGTTGTTAGTAAGTAAGGACTTGTCCCTTGCTATTATTAGACACGTGTGTGGCGATGGCGCAGCCATCGATCGAGGGTCGAATTCGAACCGCGTTGTGTGATCGGCATCGCGCTCGCTGAAGGTGTTGATGCCTTCAGGGAAGTCGTGGACTGTATACGCAACTGCGCACAATTCTGAGTCACTTATAACTGCTTTGCCGTTACTTATTGCCAATTATGGACTCAGACTATTGTCCTATCATCTCACAGAGTCCCTGACACGTAATATTATGCTACACAGTGGCAGTGGGGGTCGCAAAATGCCGATTTATTACTAATAAACCCCAAAGATCCGATCGAAATTAGGGATTGAGATCGGATCATGGGGGGGGGGGGGGGCACGTGCCACCCCACCCCCCCACTGGCTCTGCCAGTGATGATGCGTCGTTACACCACGAGGGATTGGGAGACACGAGTGTAGCATTTGTGCACAAGAGACTACATTCCAGTTCAAGATAAAGTCACAGGTTGCAGAAACGACAATCCTAGCAGAGGCATGGAGTCAACAAGGTTTACATTAAACCCAACTCAACCGCATCCATTACCTTCAAAGTACTCTCTCTCTGTCGTCACATTCACATACAAACAGAGTTTGGTACTTTTACACATCAACTCACAAGCGCTTAAACAATGACCACCAAGCTACAATGCTTTCTTCAGATTGAACAATGTTTACACCTCCATTGTGCATGTTGTAAGCATGAAATATGTGTTGGGCGTCCGTTTGGTGCGTGCACCTCCTGGAAAAAAAAAAACACGGAAGCATGTCAAATGTACGCAGTGGTATAGCAGTCGGTTTTCGCCCTTGTGCAAGGGATGAATGGGGCCCCCTGTCCAATTTACCCCTCATTATAGCCCAGTGTCTTGGTCCCTCCGGCCCAAGAAGAACCTTGATGCAGTTGCATCGCGAGCACATTCGACAAGCAGCGCCACCGACTCGAATGGCGTGCGAGTTGCACTGCATCACAATTACTCACGCGTCTTTAAGTTTCCCAGCCACGTGGCAAATCAATGCGCCAATTAAAAATTGAAACACAAATGTACAGCTGTGGCGTGGCGTACGTCAACACCGCACCGTCATTCAAGGTGAATTTCCATTATGCCACGGACACTCAAGCAGTAAGGCGAACTCTCAACCTGGCCATTACAGGGGGCGTAGGACATATTAAGCCGGCGGATGGAACGCCAACAGGAAGGTGACAAGGGTTTGCGTATATGCCTACCCAACAGCATCTTTGCATTCTAGATTTGAAGTTTTCGTGACTGCAAGGATCCATACTCTTTGGTTCTTTCGGTGAAGTCACGTAGAAGCTAATCTCTCACATTATCATAGCTAGTTCCGTCCCCAGTTACATGCTAATTTCTCACATTAACATCACTAGACCCAGCCACTTCTTTATGACCCTTGGGCTACACCCATTTAAAACCTTTATTTTTATTTTTCATCTACGTGACTTTACCGAAAGAACCAAAGAGTAAGCATCTTTACGGTTTTATTTATGTTCACATTTAAGGCCCATGAAGTCGAGAATTGTAAGAGTTGTTAGCTGTCTTTTAATATGCATGTTTTTGTGCGCAGTCTGTGTGAATGTTGCTTCTGTCTGTTTTCCATGTAAACATAATAAAACATAAAAAAACCTAGGTATAACTTTTGTCATGTTAAGTAAACGAGATTACACGTACATGTATTATGCCCCTTCACCAACCTGCACTGACAATGAAGTATTTTCAATCAACTGGCCATGACTGCCATGGTGTTGGGAGACCTTCATCCAACAGTGGATGAACACCGCACTAGATTTTGCACGTGTAATGAAAGTAAATGCGTTTAGATACCAGCAACAATGGCTACAGAAATATAATCTAATTAAATACACATTATGGCTATTTGATATAATTATCCCAGAAATTGTCTTTAAAAAACATGTACTATTACTTTTTTTTGTACCCAGGGAATACCCTACCAACAATAACATCCAGTGGCCAACACGTAGACTTATCTGCACTTTCACAGAGCTTATGCCACAAATCATCACGTACATCATTAACCACTGTAACCCCTTCAGGGCATTTCTTTATCAAATACCCTTGCTAAGCAGGCACAAGATCTCGAGATGAAGTTCTCACAATTCTGTAACATTTCCCTGTGTTATTTCAGACAGGTCGTGGCTTCCCGACCTTACATATTATTATTGTATTTTAGTTTTCATATATATTTCAGGGGTCATGCAATTTTTAGTATATACACAATGCCATCGAATAAGTGCAATTCAGCTTCTGTTCAAACATTGTCCTTGTGATGTTGGGAATGACGTCCGTCTGATAAAGCCCAACTTCAAAGGGCTGCAAGCACCTGTGTAATTATCTGGATACTAGCCTTTTGCCCGTCCTTGGACGGGTGTATTGCAGTAAATCTAAAACTTGAAAGCGAAAAATCAGACCGCGACATGATATTGATTGCATCCATTCTTGTGCAATTTTATAGTGCGCGGTGACACAGACCTATTTCATTGTAAGGTTATAATCCCTTGTTTATAACCTTACAATGATGTCTCAACAGCGTTACAGAGATCACGTGACGTGAGGGTTCTGCCTTTGTAGTGAGGGTTGTGAGTTGACGCCGAGGAGGGGGGAGGAGGCGCCTCGGCCCCCCCATGTGGAGTGACGTCAGCCGCTAATTATTATGAATTGTGGGGGGTGTCCATGTGGAGGACGTTACCTGCTCATGATTATTAATGAGGGGGGCTGTTCGATGTGGAGTGACGTCATTTGCACATTATGAGTGAGGGGGGGGTACTCCATATTGAGGTCACCCGCTCATGATTATTAATGAGGGGTGGGGGGGTGTCCATTTGGAGGATGTCACCTGCTCATGAATATTAATGAGGGGGGCTGGTCGATGTGGAGTGACGTCTCGAGCGTTAAGGACAGACATTCCTGGGTGATTATAGTAGGTATTCCATGTGCCTGTGTCTCACGAACTAAACGACCATTTTCATATGGGCCAGGTGGAATGCCAGTTGACACTTATCGCACATGGTAGTACTACTTTAAGAGGCCTTGTTAAGTGCCATTAAAATCACACTGAATAATGTGCCGGACAATGCAGTCATGGGTAATCCGCATTCGCTCTCAATCTAACTCCCCAAAATTAACAATCAGACCACCAGCTCCCCTCGACGCGACCTGCGATTTCTCGTATCTCCCCCCCAACCACCCCCCTCTTCCCAGGAAAGTATCAGAGAGGTGTGATAATTCACATCGTTATTTGAGCCGAGTCGTGACTTTAGTGCGCAAGCAATGATGAATCAAACAATTATTAATTCTGTTAATTATTTCATCTGCATTTGGTTGTGTTCAAGTGCATTTTGTTTCTCCATTTGGGTGCCTGCATGTCCATTTTCCCAGAATCCGTTTTTCAAAAGGTGTTTAATACCTTTGTCTCTGCCACATGAAAACTCTAAATAGATGTTCTCTTCTATAATTATATGCCCATCCTCTTATCGTGGCAGCTATTTAAAAATCAGTATGTTTTTTCACATAATTGGTCTATTTCCTCATTTTTCCCACCTGTTGTTACAGTATGTATTTGACGAATCTTTCATTTGTCTTGGTTCAAGAACCTTAATCTTAGGTTGGGGGACTGCCCGAAATATTCACAGACCAAAATTGACACTCCACCACAAATACTGCTAGCTCTCCCTCTATGATTGTGAGTAATGTCTCTGTCTGCAGAGAAT